CTCAAACCAAGAAAACTGATAGAAATCCAAATTAAGCAAGCATTATCCATAGAATGTAATTTTAAAAATTATTCCAACTTGCTTCTTTGGAATACTGTGTCTTTCCTTTTAATCAATGCAGCTCTGAGATGCTTACAAAAAAACCCAACCCTGAAACAACTACCTGAAACTCCACCTACACTACCTCTTATTCTGAAACTATTTCATATATGCTTCACAGAACTCTTGAAGAAAGTACCTTTCCAAAAATAATTTTCCTACCTTACTTTCGGGAAGTATGAATTAGAAACTTATAATTACAGTAATCTCTCCCCAAATTCAGGCTGTGTGGGTCCATCTTTGGGTGTCAATGTCAGTCCTCCACTCACACAGACATCAGCAAAGCATGGGAAGCACAGTTGAGTGTCACTTGAACTCTCCTGCTTCTGGGCCTGCTTTTGATCCTTAAGCATTTTTATTGTCCTGAAGTTCCTGTTCTTGCTCCTAGGTTTAACAAGGATATTGAGTTCATGATTGGACACAAGCCCAATATATTCTGGCAGGTAACCTGGAGAGTTATCAGTCCTCTCATTATGTTAGTTATCTTCTTATTTTATTTTGTGGTGAAAGTCAATGAAGAACTGCTCTACAGTGTTTGGAATCCTGAATATGTAAGTATAAAAAACCAAAATATTTATTTAGAATTACTTGGTATCTCCTTCTTCAATGTAAGAGTCATAGTCAGTTATATTCATCTTTCATCTCAAATAGGTTTCAGATTAAAAAAAAAAAAGTTAAAATACAAAAAGCAATAATAAAAAAGTAGCACTTCAAAAAAATAAGTCCTAAATTCAGCTTTACTGAAGTGAACAAAACCCTCAACCATTAATCCAATTTTGAGTGGGGCCTCAACAGGACCACTTCAACAGATGTCTGTTGCACGGTAGGGAGCACAGAAGAGCTGGAAACATCATGAATTTTCTGTGTTGACAAAAGACCATGTCTGTGAAAGCATTTTGTATTGGTTACTGTGTCCATCTAAAAGCACAGAACAGCAACGGTGCTGGTTACTCATCACCGACAGAAGAAATTAATATTCTCCTAACCGGATTTCTTCTTTCGTCTTCTAAATATACTTGCATCATTTAAATTACAACACTAAATCACCTACTTTTCCTTTCTTCCTCTTGAAGAACAATAGGCTGTATGTGGTACCAGGACAACAGAATAAAAACAAAGATGAGGGGTTCATCATTTTCTGCAGGACTTCATCTCCTCCTTGCTTATCTGTTTTTCTCTTCTCTGGCCTTACGAAACTGGAAACTGCTCTTGAATCAGCAAATCCATGTGCCCTTGTGGCTAACTGCTGCTGCAGTACTGTTTCTCTTCTGTTAAAAAACTGAATGCACATATTTTCAGGTATTTGCTCCTCTCACTTCATATAACTTGCTTTATTCTTTCAGGAAGAATTCCCAAAACCACAGAAGATTGGATATCCTGGCTGGGTCTATGTTATTATTGTAATCATCGCTGGTGTGCCTAGTTTGATCATCCCTGTCTTTGCCATCTACAAAGCCATCAGAAATTGCTGTCAGAAGAGAAGTGATCGTACAGGCCTTATAAGCTCAATATCTGAGACGTCTGTTAATGGCAACTTAAAGAATTCAGCATAAAAGCATGTAAAAATGTGGAAGAATGCCTTGCTAAGAAAGCCAAAAGATTTTCTTTAAACAATTCAGAATCAAATTTATTGCCATAAAAGGATAACTATGTGTTGTTTCTACGTAAGCGCTTGCTTACTTAGGAATGCAAGATACAGTGAAGAAGTGATAGCTTGGATCCTGGGAGCCACATTTGCAAAACAGGCCAAATAATTTCTCCTGCTTCTGGTTTTGAAGCCAGTTTGTTTGAAACTGGCTTGGAGGACTCTGTCTGGGGATGCACTGCGCTTGGCAAGCTTTAAGTGACTCTTCCCTGTCTAAACATTCTGGTTGGGTGACCAATCTGAAGGGTAATTTATACTGACTTCTATTGCACGTTAAATTGTTTTTACTTTACATGCCACTGTGTTGCACAAAGCCACCACTATTATATCTCATTCAGAAGTTAAAAATATTTAATAAAAACATTTCTAAGAACTAGACAGATTGATTCATGCATAATTCTGGGTATTTTATTATTCTCCTGTCCAAGTTCCTAGCAGCCTCAAGTTGCACCACAGGAGGCTTATATTGGACATCAGGAAGGATCTCTTCACAGAGAAAGAGATCAGTCATCGGACAGGGCTGCCCAGGAAGGCGATGAAGTCCCTGCTCCTGGAGGTATTGGAAGATATGTGGCCATGACACTAAGGGACATGGTTTAGTGACGAGAGCCAGTAGGTCAGGCTTATGGTTGTACTTGGTGATCTTGAAGGTCTTTTCCAACCTAGATGATTGTATGATTCTCTGGTTCTATGATATCTACTCTAGAGGTTATTTTTAGACTACATCTACACTAAATAAGACAGTGAAGTACCAGGCAATATATTTATTTGCATTTCAACTTAAAAATATATATTATTTGAATATTAAAAAATATGAATATGAATATTTATGAACGATAATAATCTGAATAATAATATCTGAAGGATAATTACAGCAAGAGTGGGGTTGGTCTTCTTCTCTTCTAGTGACAGTTGACAGGATGAGGGGAAATGGCCTCAAGTTGCACCAGGGAAAGTTTAAGTTACAGCAAGGGTTGTTAAGTACTGGAATAAGCTCTCCAGGGAGGTGGTTGAGTCACCATCCCTGAATGTTTTTAAAAACTGTTTGCATGTGGTGCTCAGGGACATGATTTAGCGGAGGGTTGTTAGAGTTACGGTAGTATGGTTAGGTTGTGGTTGGACTTGATGATCTTTACGGTCTTTTCCAACCTGAACAATTCTATGATTCTATGAATATATTTTATTTAAAATCTTTCAAGTTGCTATTCTGTAATAGGAAAGGCAGTCAGATTTTCCTAATGAGCTGAGTCTGAAGAAGCTGCAGGGGGCAGGGATGGAGGTACTGCCAGGACAGCCCCAGCACAGCACTCTCTGGTCGGGAGCACAACAGTGGTGGGGGGCAGGGTGGTGGGTGCTGTAGCTGATTTCTGTGACGTGGATGTTCTATAAAGGTGTGGAGTGCAAAACAGCAAAACCCTGGTATTTTGGAAAGAGAACATTAAAGTTTTTCTCACAGGCTTTCAATTGAAGGCAAGCACTCAGCTGTTACATTCCTCAGTAACTATTTAATGAAAAATAAAAATAGTCACTTGGGATTCATTGACAGGTGGGAAGTGATTAACCTCAGGCAGTTATGGTGAAAGCAGACAAGATTTTGATGTCTGAACATATGTGGTCTTGTCTAGAGAACAGTCCCATCTTGGGTTTGCTTAGGAACAAATGTTGAAGGGATCCTCAAAGAGTCCCAGCCATAGTGTGTTGTACCTTTCAAATAATTTCTGTCAGTCACACGTACGTGTGTGGATGTTTAGAGGGAAAAGCAATATGGAGGACAGCAACCTATGCAGCAGGAGCTGTGTGGCTGCAGCTGGTCTGTGTGTCCCAATGGCAGATCTTGAGGTGGGCAAAAAGCTACTGCAAGTACAGCCATGAAAACACACCTTTACCAGGTTCTATTTGAGGTTTTGGTAGAACAGCAATAGGTAAATCCAATTAAGACTAATTTAGTAAAAAAAAAAAATAATCACTTTTTGTACTTACCAAAGATGTCTTCAGTCACTCAGCTAACAAAGAGAAAAAGTCAATGCTTCCTTAATTCACAGATCTAAAAATCTTACAATGTTAATGTCTTAATGCTGTAAAGGTCTCTTTTTAATTATATTCAGCGTCACACTTCTTTGATGGTATCTGAGAACAGAAGGAGAACAGAAAATAAAAATCTGTTTGATCCCAAGTTACCCATTAACAACATATTCCTAAGTTCCCTAACTATAGAAGGAACTGCAAAACATCAAGAGTAGCCACTCTGTCTATATAATAATAATTCCTGGTTTGGTATTTAAACTGTGGCACTTCCAATGACACATTCCTTTGCATTACATAAAAACAAAGCACCGCCTTTTTTGGAGAAACCCTTCTGTCATTCCCCATAAAACCTGCAGCAGAGACACGTTTTGAAGAATCTTCCCATTTATAAGGAAAGGGACAAGAAAGCCAAAGGTACTTCGTACTAGAAGATTTACCAATGGACATGCCACCTGAAGTCCCTAAAGAAGATGGCAGACCAAAGTGGGATAACAAGTTCCAGTATATCTTAAGTTGTATTGGATTTGCCGTCGGCTTGGGGAACGTGTGGCGGTTTCCATACTTGTGCCAGATACACGGAGGCGGTAAGGTTGAAGTGGGACTTTGCCAAAATATTAAGCCACGATTCCAATATAATTGTGCTAACTTATGATGGGCATGGAACTTACATATTTGCATCACTTTCTTTTTAGCTATTGAGTTCTCAAATTCTCATAAATATTTGGCTTGCTCTTTAGATTGGCTTTCTCTGTAGAAATACATTTTGTTTTTAAAGGATGCATTTGTTTAGGAAACAAAACCAACTTGTTGCTCAGCTCTGACGCTGCTGCTACAGTCCTGATGGGAGGAGGAAGATCACTTGCAGCTTGCTACCTTTAGGAGAAGCCAGAAGTCCTGATAAGGCTTTAGTGAGGCAGTTCCCCAAACAGTTGGCTTAGCCAGGGAAACAAAAATCACTCCTCTCCCTTCTCTGCCACCTTCAGGAGGTAACCCACAAGCCACGGCTGAGTGAAGCTAAATGGCACTTTTTGATGGCTGTGAAGCTGCCTGAAATGCTTGGCTGATTTAACTCAGGCAAGCTGATGCTGACACCTGCCTAAGCTTTTCTGTGGGCACCATTCCCATGAAGAATTGCTTTAGAAGCAGCCAATTTAGTAAATACGAACGGATAAGAAATAGTAAGCTCACTGCTTACAGCAGCTTTTGAGAGGTACCATGGTAACTTGTCTCAAGCAGAGCGACGTAGCAAATTCTTCAAGCCCAGTTTTATTTGTTATCGTTCAATTTACAAGATAAGTACAAAATTCAAAGTGAGAGAGAAACAGGCAAATGGCAGGAAAAAAAATGTTTCAATCTAATTCTATCAAGGCATCTCCATTGCTTCATGAACTACATATATTTGAATAAGCCAAGGAACCACAAACAGATGCTGCCATTAAAAGTAGGAGGTATTTTAGAAAGAAGCAGCCACATAAGGACTCTGTGAGCATCTGAATGAGTGAAATCAAGCAGGCTTTCTCAGCATAAAGCATCCTGCCATGCACAAACACTGCACGGGGAAACAGAAGGAGATACTGCTACTGATGCTAACACAACCTTTGTGCCCATTTTTCAAAATAAAAAAAAATGCAGAAGATCCTCAAGACTTATTTGAGATCTGGAAAATGCATGGTATATGGACTGAGTTAAGCATCCAGCTCATTTAACTCACCAAGCTGAAAATGAGTGAATCTATTTGCCATAGTTTACAGATGAGGACATGGAAATTATTTTGACAGCAAGGAGGTCTTTAGCAGTGAAGATGTAACAGCTGGAAGCCACTGTTGCATTAATTCAAGTAAGAAAAAAGAAGCAGCAGTAGGTAGGTGTTTCTCAGGAGACCTTATACTTTATATTATTTATATTCAAAGATGGGAAACCCAATGAAGCACTCTCAGCTGCTTACCATAACTAGGTGGCTAAAAAGCCATAGCTGTTAGCATGCTGTTTCTCTGTCAATTGAAATGACTGGAAAAAGCCTGTCACTGTAGCTAATGACACACACATAGTGAGGCAGGATACATGCTTTTAGAGGAACATCTACAATGCAGAAACAGTATGTGGCTGAAGGGGGGGTGTTCTGGAGTTGGACAAACAACCTGCAGCATCTCAGGTGGCCTGCCTGAGAGCAGGCAACTGAGCATGTCCATGAACCCAGCACATCCAGAGCAGAATTTTTGAGTCCTGGGACAGCCTGAACAGCAAAGACAAAGCAACACACATCTCTTGGAAACAGCCAGCACTTACACAGATTCTTCAGGATTTCATTTTTCCAGAACTGAATTTCAGTTTTTTTCTCCTGTAGGTGACTAAGTATTTTTTGATCCCACTCTAAACTGCTACTGTGAGTGAAAAAAAGGTACAGTCCTACAGCTCACTAAGCTCTAGGAAATGTGAACCAATGACTTGTGCTAGTGACAACTGAAAGGAAAGCTGCTTGGTGCCATGCTAAATCCTATGCTAGCATGTTTTCAAATGACTCATAAAGTTCATCTTTAATTAAGCATCTTAACCACAGGAAGCCAGGAAATAAGTCTGAGCCCCTCTATGGAAAGATAAAACCTTAAGAGAATACGTAGGATGGAGAGGGCTAAGAAGGACACTGACAACACCTGGTAAGCCAGTGGCACGTCATGCTACTGCCAACACAAGTAGCTAACAACAGCCTGGGCAGGAAGGCAGTCACAGGTTTCTCTCTGCCTTTGGTTTCAGATGCTCAGCTCAGCAGGGATTGTGCTGGGCATGGCTTTTCTACTCCACCTGTTTCTGTGGTCCAATGCTTTTAGACTCAGACAAACCCAGTCTGATCTCTCACGTGCTCATGCCCAACACTTAAGGCAACCATTTCACAGTGAAAGAGACTGAAATGAATGAGGAAGATATGAAAGGGTACAAAAGTTATGTACACCACCCAACACTCTCCTCCTGCATCCTTGCCCTACACACTGCTCCCATACCAGATAGGCCACAAGACTGAGGGCAAGGACACCTTAGAGAGCACACTGTGACCAGAAAGTCTGTTTGCTTCTGTGGGCGCTGATATATCTCACAGGCACTGGCAGGACAAAAAAGGCAGGTCCTAGAAGAGTTTTAAAGATAATAAAAATTGGGAAAAGCTACAAGGACAAAGGCTGAGTATTCTTTTTCACTTCAAGAAGTCATTTTATCAGTGAAAAAAAATGATAAAAAAGAGAGCAAGGAAGCAGAGTCTGCGACACCATCCAGAGTATTTAAGGGTGGTGAGGCACTGGAACAGGTTGCCCAGAGAGGTGGTGGATGTCCCATCCTTAGAGGCACTCAATGTCAGGCTGGAGGAGGCTCTGAGCACCCTAACCTGCTGTAGGTGTCCCAGTTCGCTGCAGGGGAATTGGTAGGAATGGTCTTTAAGGATCCTTTCCAATTCAAATTGTTCTATGATACAGATACTCTGCATTACTACAAGCAGTGGCACAAAGACAGTGATGAATAAAGCTCAGTGTATGGTCACACGGCCAGTCATTGGATTTTAACAAAGGGCTCAGAGAGCTCAGCTGATGATTATAACAATTTGCTGACAAAATTCTCTGGGATTGATAAATAATTCATCCTGGACAGCAGGTATTGGGAGAATATAAGTGATTGATGAAGACCAAAAAGAAGACAGAGCTGTTAGATTTACAAACATGCCTAATGTGGTTGCATTTTCATTCAGCCAATTTTAGACAGAGATGCGATTTGGGGTTGCACTTTTGAAAGCAAACAACTCAGATGCAAAAGCCCAGTAGATCTTCAGGTGTACTGGAGTGTACCTGAAGATGTGAACAGCAGCATGATGGTTAACCATAAGACCCAAGAGGTGGTGGCTCAGCACCTCAGCCCCAGCCACGAGCACAGCAAAACCTGGTATGGAAATGTCATAGAAGATCCAGTCTATGGCTGAATGTCTTCCGGGGTGTAGATCACATTTTCACTAATGATCCAGGTGTTTAAGAGTCAGGCAATGCACTTTTCCTCATTTCTAGATCTTTTAAAAAGCAAGAGATAAAAATAAGTGCTTGTATATTTGTTCCATGTCAGCTGTTCTCCTCAGACCTCTGAACCTTATTCATCGCACATTAGTGTTACTCAGTAACTTGGATCTAATATAATATCAGTTTTGCTGACATTTATCACCTGCTTTCGTTTACTGATTATTTGGATTTATTGCCTGAGTTAAGTTAGCTATTTACTTTTCATGACTAATGGATATGAAGGCTGTTTGCCACAGCAAGCGGAGACAAATACAAAGGTTCCCAGGCAACTGGGATTGAAAAGATGTTTCTAAATGGTCTGGTATATATTTTGTCACCTAGAACTGAGACTCAAACAGGTCATATAGGCATATATCTACATACATATGTACATGCATAGACATCTGAAAATACTTAAAAAAAAAAAAAAAAAAACCAAAAACAACCTTCAACTAACATACTGTGAAGTTGTACCTGATTACAGCTGGTATGCACTGGTCTAACCAAGGGGTAATAAAAATTATGCGCGTAGTGCCTGAGCCCAGAGAATAACTGGAAAATGCCTTTAATATAAATCGCAGTTCTTTTTAGGAAAATAAATACACCCTAGACCCCTGCTAAAAGGGCAGAATGTCCACGTGCTTCTGAGGGAATGCTTTCCAGATATTCATAACCCATGGCCTGTCTGACCTTTTGCTAAAATTTGAATGACAACTTGCAAAGAAATGCAGTTGCTTGGCTCACTGCATTCAGAAGGAAATAAAATCTGAAACAACACATAAGCCTAAAAGATATTGTATAAAAATAAATAGATAAAAAAAAAGTATATTGCAAAGGGCAGAACTTTTCACTATTTGACAGAACAATTAATTCAATGATCATCTGCTCCAGCTTTTCACTGAGGAATTGAGCAAGACACAGTAATAGTTCAGGAAATTAGGTTTGCTTCTGGGCTCAATAAATGGAAAGAATCATCTCTGTGAGGAATCACAAAACCCCAAGAAGCTCAGGTTTCTTGGGCTGTGTCCTCATGAAGAAGCAGTATGGGCCTGGAAGAGCAGGTCTGTGGAGCAAAGCAGCTGTCCTTGAGACCCTGCATCTATGCCATACACATCTGAGGGTACTATTTTTTAATTTCAGGCTTGCTTCAGCCTGAACTTGGTCCAACCAAAAGTTGATTTGTGGATGGAGTGCTTTACACACACTTCCAATAATAGAAATAATAGGGCAGCTACTACAGTGACTGTAGAGCTCTCCTCATTCTAAAGGCTCTTTGCAGTTAGCAGCAATACGAAGCATGACACGCCAGCACTCCTCATTGCTTGGGGCTTTACCATAAACAGAAACAACTTACCCATAAGCCAACTCTACTGCATTTCTGTTGTGCCTGTGCTACACATCATATACACACTGATACGTTAACTATCTGTGTTTGGATGATGAGCTCTGTTTTGTGACACACACTCTGTGGTAGGTACCAACGTGAAGCTTCATTCTACGTCTTGCATTTTCCTCTTCCTAGATCTCTGACAGCAATGTTCAAAAGATATATAAGTTCTGCCTTTTAGCATATCCTCCTCTAAGGATTAAACAGACCCTTGATCATACAACACCAGTGGGTTCTTATTCACCATTAGTATTTGCCACATTTTTATTCTATGTGTAGGAGATTTTATTGAGAAGGAGTGCAAGCTTCAAATGCTTGAGCAGACTGTGCTTTTCCTATTTTCCTTTTATCTAAAAACAAAAGCAAATAAATAACTAAGCCTGTGAGCTGAACCTCTACACTCTGAGCCACCTATTTGAATTTGGTTTGAGAAAGATTAGTTCCATGAACTACTTTTAACCCAATCTTTTGCCATCTTTTCACAATTGCAGGTATCACACTTTTTACATTGCTTTCATGAAAAACAAATATTTTTTTCCCCTCAAAGCACGACATTATGTTGCAAATACAACTGGAGATGCATACAAACCAACACAAAGTAAAAGGCCTTCTATCTGCAGAATATTCAAATGTGCTCTGCTATGAACTAGCAAACAGAGGAAAGAGAAATAACACAGGGCAGTTTGCACTCATTATTGCAGGTTATTTCCATGGAGGTATGATACAGGAGATCGGTGTCTGGTGGAATGGCTGCAAGGAAGAGCCCAGAATCCTCAGATTACTTGTTCAGGAGCCACCACCCAGAGATGGGACAGCCCAACCATTTGACTGCCAGCAAGGCAGGTGTGTTGCAGAAGTGGCTTATTCTGACAATCTCATCAGCCCTTGAACAAGAGCACAGGGCTGAGGGAGGGGAGAGGCTACAAAGCCCCTGGAAGGGCATGAGAGTTCCCTCAATATTTATACAGGATATTCAGTGACTGCCTCCAGTCTAGATTTCATCACTTCAGATAAATGAGCTGCTGTGGTTCCCACACTCCTCTAAATCTCTTGCTTTGTACCTGGGTACTTAAGAACCTCCTCCAAATAGGGGGGACTGCCAAGCAGGGCTCTCAAGCATGTCAAGTGGGGACCTCATGTCCTGAAGTCAACAGTGAGACTCCTCCAAATCTGCTTCTTGGTGTTAAAACATCTTAGGAAACCAGGTCACAGAGATGTTTGTTTCTACCTTTAGCAAATTGAGAGCAGTTCCTCACTGAAAGGGGCATCATGTATGTTTTTTTCCCCATTTATTTCTTTGTAGAAAACTAGTGAATAAGCAACTCACCTTGTCTGGGTGTTGCATATAGTTATTGCAATTATCTAGCAATGGGTAGCAAAATTATTGCAGTTTCTAGCTCGAAGTGATTTGATTTATATGCTCCACCTTTCTAAACAGTCATTACATAACAGAAGCAGCTCCAGGAAGAGCTCAAATCCATGGTAACTCCCCACTGCCTTTTTCTTGCCAAGGACTGCTGTGCTCCCTCAGCACGAGGACTCTGGTGATGGCATAATGAGGTGCAGAATTGCCATTAGAGTGATGAAAGGGCACAGAGGTGGCATAAGCTGGTAGGAGGATAGGAAGGTGTGGACATAGGATTTCTATTTTTGTTTCCCCAAAGAAAAACTATTTTGTGGGCACTGTGACTGATGGCCATGTCATAGCACTAAACTTCCATCTCTTAGGCCATTTTGACTCAAGTGGACAGGTGGGCAAAAGGGATGAGCATGCCAGTGAGATGTCACTTGGTCTCATAAAGATCAGTGTCCGTGTAAAAAACAGAGATCCAAGGCAGTGCACACCATCATCCTGCAACAGCCAGAAGCAATGCTGTCTCTCACTCAACAGAGAGAAAGATGAAAGAGGTAAATGACAAAGGATACAAACCCAGACTAAATCAGATTTCATTGCTCCCACAGCTTACAGAACAGTTTTCAGCTTGTTTCCAGTTACGCAGCACCTATAGGCTCTTGTAAAATGTCATGCAGAAACTTTTTCTCCTAGGGGCTTCCAGTGCAAAGTCTTGCTTTGCCAGTGGGAAAGGGCAACCTCTCAGCTTTGGTCTGACCATTCTGCAGAAAAGAGATCATATAGAAAGACATCAGAATGGAATGACACCTGCATTTCAAGAACTGTGGTAATTGTTAATGCTTTACAGAGGTTAGCCATTAAAACCTCTTCAGTGTTTAGAGCGCATACTTCCTGGCTTGTGTATCTGCTGCTATCCCCCTAGCAAAAGAAAGGGAAATGGTGGAAGGGGTGTGGATCCTTAGAGCTTGTGTTGTGTTCATGAGATGTCAGAGTGCTGAGGGGATGTGCCCTGCAGCATTAGTGGTCCTGGCCTTTCCTCCTTCATTACCACCAACAAAACCACCCACAGTCAGCAGCTGTTCCTGGGCAAGCATCCACATCAGCATTGCCTTTCTCAACACTTCCTACAAAGACTTTGTTACAGCCATGAAGTAGAGGAGATAACAGCAATTTGAATGAGGTGTAGAAAACTGTGTGGCTTAATTGCACTTAATTATGCTTTCAGGGGCATTCCTGATTCCATACTTCATCGCCCTTATCTTTGAAGGAATCCCACTGCTGCATCTTGAACTTGCCCTAGGACAGTGCCTGAGGAAAGGCAGCATCAATGCCTGGCACACCATCTCACCTTACCTGGGAGGACTCGGTAGGTATCTGGGCTGAAGGAACCACGGCTGGGTTCCCACTCAGCACTTATTTCCTGCAGGGCTGCACCTGACGCTCATCAGGATATCACTCCCATCAGGTGTCACTCCAGACAGATGGGAGCCTAAAATATGAACCTTTTAGCCTTTGATGTGGGTGTAGGAGATAGGAAAGCTAGGGTGTGTCTTGCTGTACGCAGGAAAATGGGATTGGTGCTGACAACTACGCGTGTGGAAGAAAAAGAGTAGGTAAGAAGTTATTGAGGGGTAAGAGGGCAACTGGGAAGAACCACAAAGCAGCAGGATGGGACCTCCAGCTAGATTCTTCTCCTACTACTTAGCAGGTCCAACTTCCCTTTGCAAAAAAACCAGCAAGCAGAATCTGTGGTGTTGATACAGAAGGAACAGAAGATAATAGTTTAGTGTGTTTCTGCACAGTATGGGATAAAACAGTGCCCTCGTGCAGCTATATTGTGCTGTGAAACTTCAGTCTCTTTTGGTCTGCTGTTAAAGTTGTGTCATGTTGTAAAATAAATAAATAAATAAATACTGAATTATATGCTATGTCAAAGCACTCAATCCTCATCTTCTAAATAAGTAGTTTAAACCTCAGACTTTTCCTGGACTAGGTAACATCCCACGTGTTTTGTAGGAACTGCGACAACTCAAAACCCAGTGTTTTAGAGATACCACCTCAGGAAGATCTAATGTCTGTCTCAATTTTTACTTTTATTTTTATGAAATGAGCAGCATTCTGTACTTGAGCTTGTCCTACCTGCCCTATTTCTATGCTGGCTGCTCAGATTCCTGGTAACCAGGAGCCAGTGGCTCAGTCTTCACCTGCTCTGAGCAAAGTGTCATTTCCATCTGGAAGCCACAGTGGATAAAAACCCTGCCTAACTTTGACCTCAAAGCAAGAAACCAAACTACAGATTTAGTGGGATCCCTTCCAGTATGAATTTTCCTAGGCTCTATCCAAATGTGAAGCCACTTTCAGAAGTGGGCTGGCCAAAAGTCAGGAGTTGGGTATGCTTCTCTATCTGAAGAGGACTCTATGGCTCAGGCAACCTGAATGTCTGAGCCCCAGCAAGCCAGAACTCTTAAAGAAGGCAGCTGTTTCTCACATTTTTCATATTAGACAACCTCAGTGAAGTCACAGAAAACTTGTTTCTGTCCCTACAGCTGAAAGTGACTCTGGCACAAGCTCAGATGTTGCCTCTTAAGTGCTTATAGAGCTGAGTGTTAAAGGCCCAAAGCTGCGGGTCCTATGTCTCCTGTTTTTGGTGCCACAGAGCCCTACTCTTAGCATTTGTCACCTACTTGCTCAGGTGGCTGCCTGCTGCCACAGAGTCTCCCAGAATGGAGAAAGGCTGAGCCCAGGGCACGAAGCAGAGGAGCACCAGCCTTCTTACAGCAGTGCTGGTGGAGCCAGGGGCTGCGCATCAGAGCCGAGGTCACAAACACACATCATCCCTTGTGAAGATCTCTGGAAGAAAAAAAAAAAAGATCTTGAGAAATTAGGAGATGGGAGATTCTAAGAGCAAGGGCTGTGACTGGTAACTTTTCCCTGGTTTTCTAAGCTGAAATCTGTCATCTGCAGGGGTTGCTTCACTGATGGCGTCGATTCTGGTGAGCTTATATTACAACACCATTCTAACCTGGGTGATGTGGTACTTCATCAACTCTTTCCAGGAACCCCTTCCATGGAGCATCTGCCCTCTAAATGAAAACAGAACAGGTAACTGCTGCTTCAGTGTCACTGCAATTGGAGCATCACAGACATTAGAGCCTGGGGAGTAGGGGGAAAAGGGAAGATTGGTTTACTTGTTTTGCTGACATGATAGTACAGGGACAATTTGAAAGAACATCCTGTGCTCTCTGACTATGGAGAAACAGTCTTTTATCAAGGCACTCATGACTGTCACCATAAACTACATATCAAGACATATGAGACTGCTGACATAACTGCAAAGCAAATTTAAGACATCTTTCAGTAACTGGTTTAAAGGAGACTTGTGTTTTCATTGGGTAGTGATACCTTGGTTATTACAAGCCAGAAAGTCTGCTACTCCTTTGATTTCAGAATAAAAAATGAGGTTTTTAAAATAAATAAAATACACAATAATTTTTGAGATGGCAGAGAAACTATTTGAAGACAATTAATTACACATTACCCATTACAAAAATACTAGTAAGACTTAAAAAAGCATATCTAAAGACTGAATAAAAGATAAAGACTGTTCTCTGTTCTTTAAAATGTCTTTTTGGCTTTTTTTGAGTAACATTTCTTTACCAAAATTGTCCTTTTTTTTTTTCATGATAAAAAAATATACTGCTAAACTTGAATGAGACTGCATGTAAAAACAGCAACCCTGCTGCTCTCCACTCCTGTAGAGCATTGTTTCCTTGTGATACAGTGAGTGGCAAAATATTACCACATTTCAACGTTTCTTCTTATGCACGCCATCCTTTTCCAGGGCTCAACAAAGAATGTTATGAAAGTACTGCAGTCAATTATTTTTGGTACAGGAAAACTTTGAACATAACACCTGACGTCACCGACAGCGGCACATTACAGTGGTGGCTTGTTTTGTGCTTAGCAGCTTGCTGGGCAATTGTGTATCTCTGCACCATTCGAGGGATTGAAACCACAGGAAAGGTAGGCGAAGGACACAGAAGTAAACAGCTCAGGGTCTTATCCTGCACTTTGGATGTCATTTTCCAGAGTTCATCAGTTTCATCAGTTTCAAGTACCACTTTAGACCCATTTCACTGTGCTCCTTGTCCAACTGAGTGGTAACAGCAGCACAGATAGCTCAGAAATAGGCTCCTCTCCTTTTCCTTTGCAAATGCTTCTTGCCCTACTAGTTCCCCCTCACTGTTCTAAGAGCATTTTTTATTTTTAAGAAATTATTACTAAATATTATTGAAGTAATTTATAATTTTTAACCATGCTCACTTGTAACTGTTTTATCTAAAAATATTAGGATGGCACAAGGCAAAAACTTAAAAAAAGATCCATTGATGTTACTCTTAATAACTTTGTCTTAATTATCACTTTCTGACTAGGCAATTTATGTAACAGCAATATTTCCTTACTTGGTCCTAACTATATTCCTTATTCATGGACTCAGTCTACCAGGAGCCACCGAAGGTCTAGTGTACCTTTTCACCCCTAATGTAAGTATTACCACTATCGTCAGAAACACTACTTTTCCTTTTTCACCCCTCAGATCTCATGCTATACATTCATTTTGAGGTTCTCTCATTTTTTTTCTCATCTTCTCAAAGGGGTAGGAGTCTTAGGTCCCTTTATACGCTGGTCATTTCAGATGGACCTCTTTACACTGTGCAAACTCAAAGTTAAATTGGACTGCCAAGTGCTTGCTGTGAGCTGTGGGTATCCTCATTGCTCTGCCTCAGTGCTAAAAACCGCTGTAAAGCGGAGAGTTGAAAAGAAGAAAGGCAGCACCCACTGATAGAGCAGCTCTGAGCTTGGCACACAATTGCAGAGCTGGGTTCAAGGCCCCAGCACCTGCCCTGTGAACACCATACCCCTCCTCTGTGGTCTCAGTGCCCACAGGCAGCCTTTGCCTTACTGAACATGTCCATCCTCTGCTTTTCTGGGGAAAAAACTGACAAAACTAGTGTGGAAAAATTCACTGATGAGTTACCTGCAATGGAGAGGTGTAAGACCATCACTGTTGCTTGACTACACAGCCCTGATTGACTGACACTGAAGGTGTTCTTAGACCTCCTAGGGATCTGGTGTCACCTCGCTTTCCCATCTGTTAAGGTCCAAAGGGAATACTGATTTCACTGAAAGGAGCACCACTCTCCTGTTCTGAAGGCATTTGTTGGCTGTCAAGGCTAGATGTGGATAAGCCACATATTCTGTAGGTAAGCTCACATATTACATTATATAATTACATACCACTCGAGTGGGGCAAGTCCAAGACCTTTTTCCCTCCCAGCAAGGATACGCAGTGGTGTGAGAGGAATGGGCTTGTACTGCTGGCAGTACTCCAGGTGCCCAAATGGCTTTGGTCATGGTTTTCAAACTGAAAAATAGAAAACCACGCAACTCCTATGCCAAACTCCTATGATAAAGAAGTGGAGAATGGGTATTTGGCCAATTCAGCTGTAAGAATAAATCAACACCAGCATCCTGAATGCCATCCAGGTGATTACAGGCTCTGAACTGTAGCAAGGAGCAGTTGGGCTCCCTCCCATGGCAAAGTAGTAATCAAGGTGGCAAATCATGCTGCAAGAGCATAAGGCCAAGGTATGTCTGTCCCTTCTTTAACTCAGCCCACCAAGCCACAGCTCAGAAATACTGGATATTTTCCTCCCTAACCCTCAGGTTATCAATGCCCTGTTCTTCCTCAAATGTAGGAATTTTAATCTCCCTTTCTTGCTCTCTCCTGTCCCTGCCCTCCAGCCTATGAAAGTAAATAAGCTGTTGGATATGTTCATACAGGTTCCTCAGAGTATCTAACCAAAAACCTCTTTAGATTTCTCTACAAAGCCTCTTTTCCTCTGCTCTCTCACTTGCTAATAATTCTTTTCTCCTTCTCTTTTTGGGATTCACACTATGTTGGCTGTTTGATCTGAATGACTTTGTTTTATTAAAAAATATTTTCCAGTGTAGAGGGGCCTGCTCTTACAGGCAGCAGAAAAAAGGATTCTATCAAGCCTTTATGGGGCTCAGCTTCCATGTTTTTCTGTGTCTGCTCAGGAGCACAAATACCTCTTTCTCCAGCCTCTTTCACATCTGAAAGAGTTTCAAGGATTGTAAATACCTGGGGTGTTCTACATCAGTGAGTGCTTACTTTCCACATTACTCCAGTGTCCACTTGTTCACATTCTGATTTGATATCTTCATCTACCCGTTTCTAGCTACAGCACATTTAGTTTTTTAAAAACCTGCATGGCAAATTACTGAAAATGCAAAATAACTTTTAGGCTCTTAATTTTGGCTTATGATCAGATAACAACCTTGTCACGATGTTCTAAAGCTGAGCAGTATTGCTCAACTTACTGCACATGCTGGATTTACAAGGGTCTTTTCTAGGAGGTCTCAGTACAGCCCCCCGAAACAAAGGTGGGCCCAACAAAATGCAGTGATGTTTGGACACACGTACATTAGTACAGTGAGTTGGTCACGACACTTTTCACTTGCCTTTCTACTGATTGTTTTTTCAAACTTTGAGGTTGATTAGCATGTTCCAGTGTCAGTGCATTGCATCTAACACCAAGCTACACTAACTCCAACCTCATATGCTGGAAGACCCTACTCAGGAAAGATGGGTTGGTAGCAACTGGATCAATCAGCACCAATCATTGGCTTGGCAGCACACAGGCCAGGCAACAACGTGAATACTTCATTTCTGTATAGCAGTCTGTTTCTGGATGTGCATAAGCTCCTGTCAGTAAGCACTTCAGCATTGGAAGGTTTGGTTAAAATCTTCCAAAGTAAATGTCCTAACAGGTCTGTTAGCCTAAGCTGAAGCATTTCAGCCAGAAATGGTTCCATGTATTTGCTCATTAAACTATGCTGTATGAAACGTAACACCTGTTTTCCTGTGGTCAAAGCACTGTCACACACACTGCCACAGCATATGTGGTTCATCCAAACTGAGGGGAATGCATTACTGTAATCCTTCAAGCTCAGAACAACTGTAGAGAAATCCAAAATACTACAACCTTTCTTTGGCACACTCTTAGTCCTACACATGACAGTGGTGTACAGGGTTAACAGCCTAGAGATGTAGACACGACACACAGAACACACAGTTCAGCCTGAATAACTGAGATGCCACATTTCTCTGTGCTCAGACTGATGTAAAACAAAGTGATGCACTCAACTGCCCAGGTATTACTTGTGGGGCAAATGATATTTAAAACACCAGCTCTTAGCAGATACTCCTGGTCCCACAAGTTGATACGGGATTGGAAAGTAGCTGACCTTGCAGACTATGAAAATAACATATTTCTTTGCCAAATGCAGGAAATATATATTCAACACATCTGTATTGTGCACGTTACTAACATTTTTGCTTTACTTTTAGACTAATTTTAATGGTAAACTTTAATCCAGTTATTTACTTAAAATTGCATACTGCTCTTCGTAACCAAAAAAAAAAAAAACCCACAGATTTTTTTTCAGTTAATTTCCTCTATGAAATCTTCTCTTCTTAAATCAAATTCCAAATTTCACTCTGTTAATTTTCCCTTTTTCCTTTTTTCCTATGCTACTTTGCATTTTTGTTTACATAGCAGTTTGAATTTAAGATGCACATTCTATTTTTTTAATGAGTATTCAATTCTTGCACTTTTAGATTTTTTGTTGTTGTTTAGTTTTTTAAAATGTGACGAAGGTTAAATATTTGTACAGTTTGAAGAAGATAACAACCTCAGACTGTAAGTTACTCACTATGTATAATAACAGGAAGAAACACGTTGAAGAAAAATGTAACGTACTGTCTCCATTGTGTGCCTATTACCTGTGCAGAAACACTTCTATTATCAGGCAGAAGAGCTGCATAATTGCATTAGTGAGTTTTAAAATGAAACAGATTTATACACATTTTTAATGTGCCTTCAGAAACATCTGCTCAAATGACATATTTTGAACTAATTTCCACTTTCAGTGTACATAGATGGCATCACAACTCACAGTTTCACACATGTGAAATAGAGCAGCCAAGGGAACAGAAAGTTTAATTCCTAAATAATGCATTCATTCCAATTATTTCAGCTGAACATCCTGAAAAATCCCCGTGTGTGGCTTGATGCAGCCACCCAGATTTTCTTCTCTCTTTCTTTGGCTTTTGGAGGGCTTATTGCGTTCTCAAGCTACAATCCATCAAAGTAAGTGGAACTGTGACCTTTACAACTTGGATAGACTCTTGCAGCACTTCATGCAATTTTCTAAAATTTTCAAAATGTGGCATACTTTTAGGGGATCTCAGCAGCTGCTGTCCTTCCAGGTTTCAGTGATCTATTTTACCATTTTAACAATTTTTTTTTTCTTATGCTCAGCAAATTTATTTTGTACAGATTAATTTTTTGCCTACCACACTAATCGTTAATGTGGAAGTCTCTTCTATATCATGGAGGGGGTGTGGAATAGATAATACTTTTTTAGCCAATTTGCTTATTTGAATTCTACTTCTAGAAATGACTGCGAAAAGGATGCTGTGACAGTAGCAGTTGTGAACAGCATAACATCCCTCTATGCTTCCATCCCAATCTTTTCTGTTCTGGGATTTAAAGCAACCACAGGCTATTGGGACTGCTTGGACAGGTGAGAAACTTCCATTCCAGTGCTATATACCATAGTTTCTGCACCTAAACAGATAATGTGTTACTTGAAAACATGCATTTCACTGAAAAAAATCCGTATGGAGAAATCTAATAGAGAAATATAGATCACCATGGCACTGAGGAAAGAATGATCACAATAGCATTTGTATGGAATAAAACATTATAGAATAATATACTGGAATTAGTGTATATAAAAACCCACAAATTAAGGATCACATATTAAGCTAGCATTAGAAATAGTAAAAATAAAACATTTTTCATTTTCCACAGGATTTGTTATTAAACACAAGTGGTGGAAATGATGTGGACGTATAAAATAAGACTTGAAATATATTTTAGAGATCTGTAAAGTACTCTGAATTTGTATCTCAAATAAGTATTAATGAATATTTTCTCCTAATCATTTACAAATGATATATATTTATTTTATATATATAAATATATTAAAAATCTGTGTATAGGAGGAAATATATATCCCTCATATATATATTTTATAGATGAATATATGTTATCTATAAAAATATGTAAAAATATAGAATATATATATCTTCATATAATTATTTTTATATATATATAAATATACATATATATATATACCTATACATATAAATACTTAGGAAAAAATTGCATACATGTATATCCTAGTATAATATTTTCTTTTATGCTATAAATAACAACACTGGAAGTAAACAATTTTCTATCAATGTTCAAATGCGTAACATTTGCACATGTTGGCTTCTCTGTCAGGAATATTATTAGTGTCATCAATGAATATGATCTTCCAGAACAAAGCATTACACGACAGAACTATACAGACTGGATCACGTTCCTGAATTCATCAAATCCAAAAAAACTCGCTGGTCTCAAACTGAAAAGCTGTGACCTTCAAGAATTTCTTGATCAGGTACCATAATTGCTTCTCACAAAATAATCCTTAAATAAATATATATATATATGCAGATAGAAGGACCAGCCACTTTGTTTAACTCACTTGTAATTTAGTTGCAATTAATATTTTTTATGAAATCATAACAATTTCAAATATCAGCACTACTGTAGGGCAGCGTGAACTCAAAGCTACCTCATACGGTATTCAAAATAGTACATAATAATCATAGGATTAGTGTTCAAAGGGACTCCTACACAGAGCATACATGACGGACACTGGATTTAGTTCTACTCCAGTTTAGAGGAATAGGCCCAAGAGAGAAAACACAGCTAGCTGAAAGATTATAGAGAAAAGGTGCTGAATGAGAGTTTCCTAAATCCCTATTTGGCAACTGAAGTATCAAAACTACATTAAAACATACACTGTTTGCCTCTGATCCCATACCTGTGCAAATACAAATTCTGATCTGTGACTGTCAATTCATACCTAATAGACCATTTAAAATTAAAACAGAGCTCTTCATTCCTACTCCCACAAACACTTCCCACAACTCATTTCCTCCAGTGCTGACTGCTACATAGCCTGCTAGACTAGCCAGCATCCTTGATTCCAGAGGACACAACATAAGAGGTGACAAAGTTAAAGCTTCACAATTTCCACTGGTTTTACACAACTTTTTGATTGTCAGATGCCATATTTTCATATACTCTGGTATAAAAATTTGTATCTCTTTTTGACCTTAAGAGGCCAGCTTCAGAAACACATTTACAAACTGTACAGCTTATTTAGGTGCAATGACCAGAAACAATCACTCTGATTATCTTGCCTAGCACAACCCCTAAAAACAATAGCATTCTCAATTATTCTTAGTTTAAGTCAAACTTGAACTAGACTGTATCTCAGAAAATAATACAAGCTGAAATTCTGATGTTGAGGTTCAGAATATGAAGATACGTGCGTGTTACAGATTCACAGAATCATAGAATAGTTTAGGTTGGAAGAGACCTTAAGTACCACTTGGCTCCAAGCTCCTGCCATGGGCAGGGTTGCCACCTGCTCAGATCAGGCTGCCCAGGGCTTCATCTGATTTTAAACACCTTCAAAGATGGGGCACCCACAGCTTCTCGGGTCTTGAGAAATTACATTTAGCCCCTTATAACATTTATTTGAATTTCTTTGTGAATTCTACAGAGCGTATCAGGATCTGGCCTGGCTTTCATCGTGTTCACTCAAGCCATTATCCTAATGCCAGGCTCACAGGCCTGGGCCATCCTGTTTTTTGTAATGTTGTTCAGCTTGGGCCTCTCTTCCATGTTTGGAAACATCGAAGGAGTCTTCACTCCTCTTCTAGAACTTCAAGTTATATCTAAATCAATACCTAAAGAGCTTCTGTCTGGTAAGGTATTTGGTTTGCTTTGTTCAAAGAAGGTGACTTCTGTATAGATGCATAATGGTCAACTGCTTAGTAAATATTGTAAAGGGATTAAGAATTTGTAATATTAACTTAATTATTGTGCAGTGCTAGTCAAGGTAGTGGATTGTATTTGCAGAAGATAAAGACATAGATGAGGTAGCACTTTGGCATATGGTATCACATTGCCCTTGCCATTGTTCTTAGCTTGCAAGAGGTCTTTCAGTCAGTGGGCGCTCATTTAATTACTGGGACTGGAGCCAAGCTTGCTCTAAGTTGTTGCAAACATCAGGAAGAGCCTCGTCTCCACTGTGGCCTTCTGACAATAAGACAGTATTAAGGTAACAAGTGACATCAGCCAGTCTGCCCTGTCTGTGCAAGAACTTGCTGTATCACATTAGCATGACTGTAAGACAGATCACTCACCCCAATTTCATTCAGAACTATAGTACTACCAATTATTTTACATTTACTGAACAGATAATGAGGAATGACTGCTTACTGTTCAAAGCTAGAGCCTCTTCCAACTGAGACACCAAATCCAGCCTTCTCTTCAGGAATTGGGCACTGAGTTGAATTTGTTCATTTTGGCTTTCTTTGCTGAAACATAAAAGCCTGCATTAGCAAAAAGAAACAGAAGAGAATAATAGGAGAGATCCTACTGGATTGGTCTAGAAAAAATTCAGCAGTTTCAAGTAATGGATTAACACCTGTCTACAGTATCATTTTAAATTAATACATGGAATATTGCTACCATGCCTTTTCTAAAGTCTTGCTGGGGCACCTAAATTAGATTCTTCTAATTCCACAACTTTTTATGTAAAAAAACCAAATCTATCTGCAACTTGATGAGGTAACCATCCATATGCATCTACTTCCACCTCGGGACATAAGGAGGTATCCTTCTCAGCTCTAGGTGCTTACCCACCACAGGTCCCAGCTGTTTATGTAGACCAATGACTGCATGAACATGAGAACAGCTAAAGCTCTCTGCATCAGTCAATAGGCAACATCCAAAGACTACCACAAGGCAAGGCACAGTGCAGAGTACTTGCTTGGAACTCTAGTAACTGAAGAATACTTGTCACAGGAATGCTTTCCTCATGCAAAAGAATGGTGTCTTTGGTCACCACAGAGGAGAAAACTGAGTTTAGGAAATGGTATCAAGTAGGTCCATATAGGGAAAGAGAATAAAAGTTACTCAAACACAAGTAAAAACAATTTAGAAAAAAACGATCTCAATTTCTGTCCTCCAGTAACAAAGGTATCTCTTTTTCTTCAGGTATAATATGTCTAGCTTCCTTCCTTTTTGCTCTGTGTTTTACACTGGGTTCAGGGAGTTACTGGATTGACATTTTTGACAGCTATGCAGGCTCAGTGCCTCTTCTAGTTATCGCTTTCTTTGAGGTGATTGGGGTTGCGTACGTCTATAAAATTAAAAGGTAAGCTGGAAACTTTTTTCTCTTAAGAGGTAAATTTTCACTCTGGTATTTGAGTCCTGATATCTGTTGGATTAGATGCTACAGAATTGCTGTGACATGTTTATTACTCACTATAGTTAGAAAACTTACTCAGGTTATGTAAACTGACATAGCCACATTCATCTTTGGGGGGGAAAAAGTTCTAGTTCCACTTTCTTAAATATTATGAACACCTACAGCAAGTAGGAAAGGTATGGAGTAGAAAAGATTCAAGGAGTTGTGTCACATTTAAAACTTACAGAAAGACTACAAAAAGAGAAAACAAAATTGTTACCCCTAAGCTCTGACATCTTTATATACATGTCTCCTCTTAAGGTTCAGTAAAGATGTGAAATGGATGACTGGACGAAAACTAAATCTCTACTGGCAAATCACATGGAGGTTTATAAGCCCTCTGCTCCTGCTAATTGTCTTTGTGGCCTTTGTTACTCTCCAAATACAGAAGACACCAACCTATGCAGCCTGGAACCCCAAATATGTATGTTCTCTAATATTTGCAATACTTAACAGAAGTGAATGTTTTTCTCTCCCACCGGATCCTTTAAAATCATTGCTGTTCACACAGTGTAGTCTGAAGTGATAAAATGCTCAGATCAAGAAGGCTCCAGTATGTACAGACATTACAAGGTTACAAATAATATAAAATGGCTTTCCTGTTATCAAAGTCTTCTTTCAGAGAAGTCTTGTGTCACCACACTCCATACCTCTCAGAGATGCACGTGATGCAGACAACTGCTAAAGTGAAATGTCTCACAGAGACTCCATATTTTCATAAGTGACTCATATGTATAGTAGAGCTTCAGAGCTGCATGACAAATACCAGGGATGGAAACATTTTCAGAGGCTCAGGGGAGACCTTATTTTCTCTTGACAATGACATGGAAGGAAGTTGTAGCAAGGTAGGGGGTCAATCTCTTCTCCCACATAACAGCAGTAGGACAAAAGCTTTACACTGTGCCAAGGGAGGTGTAGGTAATATATCAGCAACAATTTCTCCTCACAAAGAGGGGTGAGGCACTGGAACAGGCTGCCCAAGGGGCTGGCAGAATCACCATCCCTGGAGGTGTTCAAGAAACATGTAGATGTGGTATTTTATGACATTGTTAGCGGGCTTGGTGGAGAATGGGTTGATGGTTGGACTAGATGATCTTAATGATCTCTTCTAGCTTGAATGATTCTATGATTTGCCCTGAGAACTACTGATACCACTGGGACACTGATGAACGTATGACTGTGCAACTTGGACAGACAAGGAGGCAAGGAGGCAGTGGTCCAAGAACAGTGCTGGTTAATTCTGTGCCAAAGTCCTGCTGACGTTGAAAACACTCAATCTGAACGGGGGTGACTCGTGTCAGTTGCAGCTTCTTGTGTCTCTCTCAAATAGAGCCTGTGGAGGGGGTCAGAAAATCGATTCCAGCCTTACACTGCACTCAGATTGCAGTAATCCTCAAAGATTGTCATGAGCCTCTCTAGTGTGAATAGAGGCAGAGACTGGAATAAGATCTACAAAAGAAAAACTATTAAAAAAATTTACAGTTATATTTAGACTCACAAGAAGTGACGCCAGAGGATATGGCTACTGAATGCTATCATAGAGGAAAAATAAAACTTCTGCTATCTTTAAACATATATGGAAATCATAGAAATGTAAGTGCCCTAACGACTTTATTTATTTTCACTTCTGTGGTTTTTTTTGTTTATTTTTTTATTTTTTTTTTTAAATCTCCATAGGAACACTTCCCTATGAAGGAACAGAAAGTCTATCCACCTTGGGTACAGGCCATCTGTGTGCTTTTGGCTGCTCTTCCTTGTATATTTGTACCTCTGGTAGCACTCATCCATCTGATCAAACGAATGTGCAGAAGGAAGGACCCAAGCCTTGTAACACCAGAAACGTTTTCATGTCAAGAAGTTAACAGCAACTTTCCTCATTCCCCCGAAAAATAAATATTCTTTCTGTCTGTAAGTGAAGATGACAGCTTTTGTTAGACAGGATGTGTTACTCAGCTAATATGGTTAACGCAGTTCTGCTTACAGCCTACCATTAGCACTCGATAACAGTGCTGCTATGTTCCCTTTATTTTCAACCAATTTCACAACATTTGTTGCACCTGCATACTGTCCTGAATCCTACCTACCAAGAAGCACCAGTTCCACTGCCTTAATTCTATTCACACGTTACCTGCAGACAGATTTTACAAACCTTGAAAGCCTGCCAGCTATTTCAAGTGTCCTCTGTCTTTCTTCACTTATTCCAAATAAATGTGGTTCCTAAGGATAAACAACATAAAAATTAAAACCCATTTTATAACATTTTCTTTCACCAATCCCCCCACGTAGAGAGCTGGAATGAAAGCTCATGAAGGGGACTCCTTGCTTAGTCTACTTTTTGCAAATTCCTTTAATGCATTTAAATAGTAGTTATTTTATGATTATTCTATAATCTCAAGCATTACAAATAAAGCATCAGCAGTTAAAAGAACACGCACTAAGCAAAGCTGAGTAATTAATTTTGCACAAGCATCTTAGCTAGCACATTCCAGGGTTTACTGTAGTGGAAAATACTGTGAGAACAAACATTCCCAAAGATTAATCCTTACTTTCTCATATTAAACATGATAAATGACTACTGTGATAGAAATGTTTGGAAGCATCGTAGTGTGCTGCAACGTTACATGACCATGAAATACATCTTCACTTAAAAAGAAGTTACCTTCTACTCGCCTGCAGATCCTGGCCATTCTGATAGGAGACAAGGGTTCCCTTTGCAGACATACTTTTGAGCAACCAGTAGCCTCTGAAAAAAGACTGGGAAAGCATGGGAGGGTAAGGCATGACAAAGACTTAGGTGGAATAATCAATAGAGCCAAGAAAGATATAGGGATTTTGAGAATAACGAACACAGTTTTAGTATTTAGCCTTGTGATAGGCTATGTATTAATAGAGCTTTATAAGGGATAAAAGGGATTTGAACAGAAGTTGAAAAAGAACGAAACCAACTCAAACCCATCACTGACATGTTGCTTCTCTCCATGAAAACACACCAGTTTGCGTCTGATTCTCTAGCAGCGTGGAAACAGAGCTGTCTCTGATTCCTCTGCAACAGCCTGAAGGGTCACAACAATGGAGGCCTCATGGAGGCATGACCTTGACAAGACAATGACTAAGAGACACGAAGGAAGGAGACAGGCCCACTTGATGGATGAAAACAATGGTGAGGGAGAGCTGCATCTTTCACAGCACTTGTTGGCACGGGTACTGACTGCCAATGCTATTTCTGTGAGAAAGTCAACAGCAAACCACAAAGCCTAATGGAGAGAGCTATGCTGAGAGGATCCAGAAGCTCATGACAGTTTTTGCTCAGACATTAATATTGATCCACTGTCAGTGGAGCTAGACTCTCCAGGCAATCCATTTCAAATCCAAATGCCTTTCCCAACCACACCAACTCTCACTAGATGTGTCAGAAGCTTGACAACAGCTAATTCAACCTACTCACTCCCTAAGGTTACCACTGAAAGCTCAAAGCAGTACTACAAGGGCAATCTCCCTGTTAGTGAGACATGGTGTGCAGGAACAGGACATAATGATTTGCTCTAACAGAAGAGTTGGAGAGATCTGCCAATCCTCACGCGCATGGCTCTGACTCCTTCCTGCTCCTGGGCTCTATAACTTATCCCTGGATGTGCCCCTCTTGTAGTCCAAGTTACATCAATAACAGCATTGCTGCCTTTGGCTGCTCAAGACATTTCTCCTGTTGTAATACTAAAATAGAAAAGAAAATGCCAGAACATCTATTTTTTATAATACTTCTGCAAACTGCTGACTGCTTTTAGAAGGGTTCGTTGCTAAAAGTGAGCTTAGGGGCACCAGAAAATAAAATTATAGAAAAAATAGGGGAAATTATGCACATAACAGATAGCTAACTACACATCACAAATTAAATTTGAAAGGTTATGAGCTAAATTAGATTTCCATAAAGAATAGTCTCAATAAAATCTGTTCATATAAAAACTAACTACGTAAATAGAAATTTTAATTAAAGTGTACACTATACATTCATATGCTTGATTACAGATAGATGTTCATTAAAATCATATACGCAGGGGTATGTCGTCAGGCTTAAGATCTTGGCCAGAGATATGCCCATAACAAAAACTGCAGCTAAATAATATAGACACATGCTGAGAAAATAGTGAAGCTATGTATAGATTCAAAGACTTGAATCTTCTGGATGTATCTCGAGTCACTGTCATGACACAGACAGTGGAAATTTTGAACTCCTTGACTTCTGAGCTCCTCATTATAGCTCCTCTGATGCCAAAGTGCATGGATCACTGGACATATGCTTCAGTCTGCAAAAGGAGGCAAAGGAGAGAGACTTTTCCATCTCAGTAACTGAAGTTCACAACAGGGAAATGCACGAGGTTAAGTTACTCTTTAGCTGAAGTAGGCATGTAGAAAATCTGCTAAACAGCTCCTTCAGGAACACTGCCTTGCTGTTCTTGTGCATTTTGGATGTGATCTATACCAGAATTCCTGTGCTAGAACTGTAGCCTCATTTCAGTAAATTTTAGTGCTACAACCCCCCCTCTCCTATTCACAGAAAACATGGTATTTTAGGAGGACTTGTTCCCTTAAATAGCATGACTGACTTTCTCTTGAGTAGCATAACTGAAGAAGTCTTTTCCTAAGACAGAATAGAAGAGGATAAAATTCTTTGGGCAGGGCTGTAAGTAGAGCTTGAGAGTAAATCAGTATGAGACAGAGCTACAGGCATTGTGATTTTCAGCCACAACAGAATTTCTAGCCTTAAGATATGAATTTGTATAACAAACTGAAGTACCTACTAATACAAAACAAACAAAAACCCCAAACAAAAACAGAGCAAGAGCACTGCAATTGCACCAGAAATGAGGAATCTTCCAAATAATCCTAAAACAGAGAAAACCTGTAGAGGACCATACTCCTTCTGGAACACAAGCATTTCCCTATAATGCAAAATTTCATACCTACCTCAAAATGAAATTCACAGTCTGAAATCCCTTTCCAGCAGGAAGCAGTGAGGATACCTTTGAAACATGTTGATGCTTCTATTTCTTCTACAAGTTTGTGTCAAGTTTCTCCCTTCCTGCTCTGCAGAGATAGTAAAAAAACAACTTTTATCCCAACCACACTTCCTCCCCAAAGTGGCCCAAATAAAGTTTCTGACAAGTTGACTGAGATCATAGGTTGCACAATACAGTTACCGTGGCTGGCCTCGCTCTTAATCTTTCTACTTACCTTTTCCTAAACACAGAAACAATTTTAACATTTCCCCTTACCCATAGAGTCTCCTGAACTTTTCCCAGCTTTCCAGTGATTGTTGAAAACTCACAGCGTAGGTTCAGAATGTTCTTAAGCAAATTATTTTAGTATTTCCAGCCCAAAGCTACTCAATTCACCACGTTTCCTGTCACCAGTTGCCGTTCATCACACTTTCTACCAGTTAAGCAGAAAATGTTTTACCATTGTGATATATTGCACTATGTTAAAACAGTTCATTATAGAAGTAGCTTTAAGGAATATTCCTACCTTCTCTTCAATGATTTGGATCAATCATTTTAGTGCAGTAAGCCCATGCTACTGTTAAATTCATTCCTTAAACATGTTCCCAGCATTCTCTCCATCAGTCCTGAGCTGTAGCAGCAAGTTTCCAGTACAGTACAGTACAGAGTGCCATATATTCTACAATTTTCCATTTGCAAAACAAGTACTAGTTTCAGCACTGCTTTCAATGGTCTTCTTAAATAGGCTATTTTAAAAAGAAAGTGAATTCTGAGAAATATTTGCATTTGTTTACAGGTAGCCTTCAGAAACAGCAACGACTGCTTTAAACTGATAATTTAGCAAGTAAATGTAATTTTGCAAGTACATGTAAAGGCAAACATCAGTTCAGAAAATTGCATCACACTTCACATACTTTTTCCAAAAATACACCTTTAACTGAGATACTTCCTTGTTAGTTTATATGCCATTTAGTCTGCTGTGGTACAGAGTAAAAATGGACTTGTCCTGGCAATACACCTGCAAGTCAAAACATCCTGTGGAAGCGGAATAAAGAGGCAATGAAGACGAGACCCCAGTTGTTGTCAGTTTTAAGGGGGAAAAACACGCCAACCTCTTCTAGAAGGCATCATGATGAAAGACATTACAAACCTTCAGTCTATTAAACACACAAAAAAAATTAAAACAAAGTATGTTTCTTTCTCAGTACGCTTGGAAAAGTCTGCATTTAAAGGCTTTAGAAGCAAACCTATCCATAACCACTACGCTCTTGGATGAAAGCAGAGAGGTTTTCTTCTAGTCCTCACAAACCCACCTCTTTCCAATGTTTTTTAGAAACTGAATAATTCAGCACAGTTGCTGCTCCAGTTTTTTTACCACAGTTTTCCAGGACACTCTTTTGATCACCCCAAAAGTTTGCCTTGAGATGGCTGTTAGGCACAGAACAGAACCCATTCTCTCAGCATGGATTCACATCGCAGGATCCTGGCTCCTGAGATATTTTTCACTTCCCCAGCCCCTATCCTGCACAGTTCTTTCACAGCAGGTGTGCTTATCCATTCTGAGGAAATGACTAGGCTCATCCTTCTCAGGAGGTTTATCCAGAATGCAGTGATCAAGACAAAATAAACATGCATTCATTGTTACTGCTGCCCACCAGCAAGGCCTTCTTCAACATGATACACAAAATGCATTGAGCAGTGCATTAAGTAGCAAAGAATCAAAATTTATACCACCTGCACCTACACAAAATCTTATTAGTATAGCAGCAGATGAAAAGAGCAGCAGAGAGGAAGGAATGCATAGCTGAAGAAAGACTGAGTGAGGAGTAAATAGTCACAGGAAAGTAACAGCTCCCTCAGAAGTGCAGGAAGTTCTTGAAGTGCTTAAGTTTCATCCCTGATAAGATATTTTATTTATCCTAATGAAATAGCTCTACTTTATAGCATTGCAAATTCAACATGTGAGCCTAGAGAAAAAAAGACACGTGGGCAGGCTTACCAGAGCAGTCATAGAGCAAAATTCAGTCCTGTAAAACATGCCAACAAAAGGGCTAGATAGTAGTTCAGTACTATTAAGGAGCAAAAGATAAGACTAAATAAAGAACAGGAAATGCAAATATACCAAGCAAGTAACTTTTCTATTATCTAATCAATAACTGGTTCCCCTTGTTTTTGTAGTTATGAATACATCACCATTGTTTAGTACATCTCTATAAACTTGCAGAATATATTAAACATGTTGAACATACCCAGATATAGCATACAAATTTTGACTGTGTTCTCCACAGCAAAAAAATCTTTATCCCATGTATCTTGCTAGGTGCAGCCATGAAATGCACTTTCCCTGTACCTTTCAAGTGCCTTTCAAGACACTTCCAAGTTGAGTGGGATTGGGTTGAAGTTTACTATAAAATAAAGGTATTGGAGACAAGTCTGTATTATTGCAACTATGAAGACAATTTATTATAAAACTGTCTGCAGTAGAAAAAAAAAAAATAAATCAAAGAACAGTTCTTCAGAAACAATACATGGCAAAAATGTTGATCTGTTTATACAGATAACTTAAATATGTCTTCTTCAAGAAGAAAGGAATTACTGAAGGAAATCAAGCCAAGTTCACAGGTTGTACTTCAAACAGCCTTCAAACTTACAGAAAAACACAAACATGAAGATGTTAACAGAACAGCCTGTTCTTTTAAAGTTATTGTCTGGTACCTAAAAAAAAAAAAAAAAAAAAAAAAAAAAAAAAAAAAAAAAAAAAAAAACCCAACAATGAAAACCCAACAATGAAAACTTTCAAGTAAAGTTCATTCTACCAAAATTAACTACAGAGAAAATTAATCTAAAAACATTTATTTTTAAGCCTGGAAGGATCATGAAATAAACCTTCATCGCTTAGTCCAGTATAGTTTTGAAATCTTGACAAAGAGATGGTTCCGTCACTGTCTTCAGCAGTTCCATAGTATCCCTTGGTATCTTCCCAAACAGATGCAACTTATCTACAAAAAGCATCAAAAACAACATATTACTACTGCAGGTAACTAACAATTCATTCTTAGGCAAAATGCTAGTAAGTCATGAAATCAGTAGTAACTTAATCCAGTAAAAAAGCTAGAACACCTGGAACACGAGGGTAAAAAGGCTATAGGAAAACATGCTGCTCTCCTCCTGCCCTTAAACACAGCAGACAATTGCCAGTTAAAAAATCATATGTTAAAACATTAACAAGCTATGGAAAACCAAGGAGTACATTCCTCCCAGTATGTCCCTGCAATACTGCTTGTATATAAGACTTCTAAAAGTTTTTAGTAAAGTACAAGACCAATTACTTAGTAACTATATCCACCAAAAAAGTTCTGTCAAAGCAGTGTTACTCTGAAAGACCCTAATTTAAACAACTCCCAGGACACGGGACACATCCTTATCTAGCTGATTATATTTATCTATAGGAAAATGGTATTCCCAAACTGTTTTTTTTCCTCCTCTAGTTTCAGATATGGCATTAAAGAAGTCTATAATTGGAACCCACATGAGCAAAAAGAGGAAAAAGAATTTCATGGAGAAAACACCTTTCTAATTGTGGCTACAGCAGTTCTCCCAACTATGTCCCCTTGTAAGGCTACCTGAAACAATACCCTTAAGGAGAAAAGTTGTGAAGAGTTAAGATTTAAGGGCCTTGTTTAATTACCAATTTATTTTTAGCATAACATGTCAGTTTTGAAACACAGAACGTCATTGAAGTCTACGGCCAACAGAATTAAAGAGAATAAAAAGGACTTCTCCAAGATTAGAAAAAACATGTAAAAACCCAGCAACAGTGTAAGTCTGTTACCTAAACAGGGTTGGTAAAATTGTCAATGGTGCAGAAAGGCAGAAGTGCTCGATAAACATTTGTTCTGTATTTGGCAAGGAGATAGATGGTGTATTTATATCTTATCACGATAAGGAAAGACTCTTGCTCCCTTCCCAACTGGTAATAATAGGAGGGATGTTAAACAGTAACTATGCTTTAAATACTTAACTCCGAAGAATGATTTTAACTTGTACTGACAAGGCACTGATGTTGATATTTAACAGGTTTTGGAACGCTGGGGAAGACCTTCTCCCCAAAGCCCATGAGCTCAATATTGATTTCAAAGGAGAGTAACTGAAAGGCATGTGCAGGGACACAAGTGAAAAATGAAGTTTATATCAATTTCTGTCAAACAGCACGATCTCACAGGGGCAACAGTTTTTATATAGCTGATACAAGCTCCAAAATTACAACAAAAAATATAGTTGTTAAGTCAACACAGGTGCTGTTACCAGTCTTAGTTATCTCTACGCTACAGATGCTGTGCAGTACAGATATACAAAGCTAGCTTTGCTTTAGAGGAACACACCTGAATAGCAACAGCTACACATGCTATCTGATTTCCAGAAACATGACAGAACTTAAAATGCAGCATTCAAAATTAGCTCTAATACTTTAACACTGTGCTTGGATTGTCTCTACAACATGATGTACTGATTACAATAGCAATATTACTCTGGACTATATCTGATGCAGGTGAAACAAAAATGTGAGTAGAAAGCTATGTACCAATGTCTCTTCAAATGGATTTTCAGTGAATTCCTGCAGAAACTTCAGTTCTGCTCCCAACAGAAAGTGCAGAGGACATAGGGCTGTGGACATGCCTACTCACCCCTCCATTTGTTTCCTATAAATGTTCATGTGTCTTCTTTGTCACACTGTACTGACAAAAATAAGACTATGTGCATTCAGGCTTTGCCACTGGCCTCTGATACAGGAAGGAAATGCCTACTTTCAAAACCAGAACTGCTCCTTTTCCAGGGCACTATGTCTCAGCACAGGTACTAGAGGAAGCCTGTGATACATTTACAGATGAAGTATTGGTTATTCTTGAACTAGAATAAAAGAACCCAAGTAGCATCTCATTCAGAGTGCAATTACATGGTCAGTGCTGGGAGACTGTGAAGTAGTGGCTACACCTAGCCTTCACTAAGGTTGAATTCAGCAGCTCTACTAAGTACTTCAGGAAAAGCTACTAGTGTTTATTTTTAATAACTTACAATTAAAAGCTTTGTTATTTTTATGGCTGTTCCAGCTACAGAATACACTACTGGTCAAGGAGAGGGAGCTGCTCAGAGCCCATAGACATCTTTTAACAGAATGGAAGAGTCAGAGATTTGCCAGCACCACTCTGTAACAATGAGACACACAGCACAGCAAGTGCTTCTATTTCAAAATGTCCCCAGTGACTCCTTTGGGGGTAAGAGTTTACACTGTGGGACGAAATTATTTTGTTGGAGTTTATCTACATTGTTTAAAAATAGAAATCTGAGCCTTTGTATTTTATTAGATCAATATGATCAACACAATCATACTTAAGTTTTTGAACTGTACAAGCATGGTGAGTGTCAAATAATAACAGATGTGCCTTAAGAGCAAGGTTCTAGAAAATGAAATGCTGAAAAACATACCATTTTAATTTGCCTACTTAAAGTTAATTGATTTCATTAAGAACAGAAAGCTTGTTACCGTACATTTTAGAACAAAAAACTTAAAAAAAACATTAGATTGGAAGATTTTATGAAAACCATATCTAAACCGTAAAAGTAATTGAATACTTACAGACTTTAAGGGGCTTAAGTAAGCATTTGTAAATAACTTTGTGGTTGGACAGTTTGACAATGAAGGCATGGTAACAGAGCCATTCTGCTGCCTCAAAAGGGAACATGCCAGATGCATCTTTGCTACCTAAAGAAATCCCTAGAGACAGAACAAGACAACACCGAAAATTACATATATTCAGAAGTACAACTGACCCTTCACACTACTTTCTATAAAACCAGAAGGGCTACACATTCAGGACTATTTATTTATCTTAAAAAGTAAATTTAAAAAGTGCTACTTCGCTGCCACTAAACACACTATACCTGGATTTTTAGCTTTCAGGATAAAATAGCAGCTTGAAGCAGTATCAGAGATGATCCTTAGGAAGAAATACGGATTATTCCTAACTTTCTGGTTGAATGGAAGCTGAAGAACACAGGCATGGAACCTGTTAGTAAAAAACAAACAACAGCCTTTTTAATCACAAGTCATTTTCTATTTCAAGTGAAATTATGATTATGTACCTTAGGCACTACACCACACTTAAAAGCACACACTTTAGCCAAATAAACACCGTTAGCATGAGAAACCTCTGCTATATACAAATTCCTGCAGTGTCAGGCTTAAGATGTTTATTCATAACTTCTGTGGTGAAATAAGAGGTTGAAGTCATCTCCCTCAGTAAGTGAATTCTCTTCTGAATACAGCGAATATGTTGTGATGAGGGAAAGTTGAACCCACATCCTCATCAGGCTCACATCACAAACCACTGGGATAGAGAACGCACACAAGAGGCAGAGAGGAGGCGAGAGAAAAAGAAACAAAAACAAACTCAACAACAACAATCTTGTTCTTCAGGAGAACAGACCTCCAAATGATGAATTTAAGAAAAAAGCTCAACTGCCACTTCCTAAGCAGAACTCCAGCAAAATAGCAACACCTGATGTTTCCCTATTTACAAACAACTCTTATGCTCTTTCTGTGCTAAAACAATAAACAACAAGAACTCTTAATGGATTATCTCTTTATTCACAGTCACAACAAATAAGAAACCGACCTTTTTTCCTTGTTTGTCATTCAGAAGCTGACAAACAGGCTTAATAAACTCAACCAGAAAACAACATCAACACAAGTATATTGTTCTTTTGTCATTGCTAGGGTTGTGTTGAACAGAAGAATACTTTGAGTGCATGACAATCCTATGGTAGTAACATAAGCAACCACCAAAAATTATTAATAAAAAGGATTTTAGAGCCCTGAAGCAGAGTACCACTCAATTGTTATGCTATTCTTTAGACCCAGGATCTTCCTGCTTTACTCAGCACATGCAATCATGCAAAGTTTTTGGTGCAGTTTACTTTTTTCTCCCAACCTCCTTATCAACTCTGATTTCTTTCACTTCATCCTTGTTTAAAGTGCTTACTTTCTCTGCTGGTCAAGAAAAGCCCACAAGTCAATAACATTTTACCAGTTAAGAAGCAATTAAGACATTACCAGCAGCTAAGAAGTCAGAGTTAACTTGGAAAAATGAAATTCCACTTAATGCAAAGCTATACAGGTCAAAGTTCCACATGATTGTAATGAATACAAAGTTCTAAATATAATCTCAATATAACCTGCTTTTCATTGCTCCTAGAACAAAATAAACCGTTCCTCTTGGAAGTCAGCTATAAACACCCAGAGATACTGAAAATTAATTTGTCAAAGTGTCATTTAAACACACATACTAACATCATCTCTACCCTGAATCTAATATTATGCAAGAACGGTCTTAAGACACAGTTATGTGACTTTCTACTGACATTTAACAGTGTACAGTATGTATGTAACAGTTTATGGTACATATTTTACTAAGCAATAGCTGCTGTGTGTCAAGACAGTGTCATGGAACATTCACAATTACTGCAAGAGGCAGTCACCTACCTGTAAGCCTGAAGTAAAAATATCTTGTAGATGTTAATTAAAACTGTTTTAAGGCTGTTGATCTGGAACAGAACCACAAGAATATTTTTGTCTTACCATATCATTTGTATGAGTTCAACAGAAAAGATTTAGAGACGTAGAGAAAAAGAACAACTTATGCTATACTTCCATTATTTTCTATTATGTACCTAAACAACAATGGGCTCAGAACAGAAGGCGAAGGCTCAGCTCTGGAAGCTACTGTGACCTCACCCACATTTAGTCGACGCCAAGATTTCAAAGTTAAGTTTATAACCTTTCCAAATCATCTCTTCTGTTAGTCCTCGCTGTTTATTACTAACGATTTTTTTTTTTAATTACCTTTTTAATTTTTTTTTTTTTTTTTAATTTTTTTTACAAACATTCATTTCCATAATCTCACCTTTAAGTCAAGAAATAAAGGATGGCATTTCAGTTTGAGGACTGCAGTCAATTTGCATTTCATGTTTTTTCCAGCTATTCTACTTGAATTGAAGGAAAGACTCGATCTGATAGAAGTAAAAGCATAACTAGAATGAAAAATAATAATAATAATCAGACTCCATGGGCTAATAGACTGAATTAAATTCTGTGAAATAAAGCTCATTTAACTTCTCATCTTAGAGAAACTGCCTCCAAATCAATAAGCCAAGTACAAAAATACGACCGTAACAAAATTCAAAACTAGAAACAAACAGAACATAGTGGCATTAAGGCTATCACCTAGGGAATTACTTCAGAACCTTAGAACAGAATAATTTCCAGTTATTTTAAACACCACCATCACTGCCACCAACAACCTTTAAACTGACTTCAGCAATAACCAAGTTATATTCTGTGATCCAAGCAAGCAGGAGCTAAGCTTACCTTGGCTCAGCAACCTTAGCATTGCAATTACTGAAATCAATCTTACATAAAAGCAAGGAGATCACCCCATAACAGTTTCTCTGTTTAGTGCCTCCCAAACCACGAGCACCAATGTCATCAGCAATATAAACTGTTTCTTCTGTTGTTAAACAAACAAACAACAAAAAAAACAAAAGTCACACATTCCTTCTCCTTATCTCATATTAATTGACCAAACTTTTCTCTTTTGGAAGACAGTTGAAGAACCATTCTGGCAGTGCAAAACCTCCTTCTAAGTTCTCACCTGAATGTATTCATGGGCTGTTTACAGACAAAGCTACGATATTATCCTTCAGCTTAAAGTTATTTTCTGTTAACCTTTGACAAATGTCTAATGCCATCTCTAAGAGTCCTTTTAATGTGCCTATAAAGCTTTTCAGCAAGATACATCCTGAGTTTTATGGTGCTTTAGTCAGACTGCTCCACGTGTACACCATGATGCTGGTTTAAAGGCAGGTTACTTCTACCCTGTGTTAACATCTGAAATACATCAGAGGAAACCTAAAGAACTACTAGTCCCTCTAGTGTGCAGAAAGTGAATTCCAACCTGTATTCCTACAATACTACTTGCTGAAAGCAAGAATAATAAACGTATTTATACTAACTGTGAAAGAAGTTAAACCAAGGTGATCAAATAGTTTCTGAAAAAGCATGTAGTCACCATGTGGTACATGGGATAAAATGTATGTGCATTCCATCAGGGTGTAATGAAGAAAGCATCAGAAAAAAAAAAAGTATAAAGAGCTGTATAAGAAACAGAATTGTAAAGTGTATCTTGAAGTTAATTCAACTATACTACTTACAAGATACTCTCTTGTTTTTAACACTGTGTGTAGCATACTGTAAAGCTGATGCTGGAATATACAACCATTTACCTGGAGTAATCACAATAAACCTCAAGCGTCTGCATATCCAGTAATAAACCACACCACGAGATCAAACGACAATCTGGCAGCTGTTTGAACTTAGAACATCCCGGGATATCATCAACAGGAAAATTCACCACTGTCTTCTTGGCATTTATTAAAAATCCATACTCAGGAATACCTGCTGCTATAGTCCTAAAGCAGATAAAAACGGTTACCCACAAGAAAAGCAGAAAAAAACCCCACAAAAAACACCACCATGCTGTATGATGCATATTAGGTTGGCATAAAAGAGCAAACCCAATAATAAAGAGAAACAGCTCTTAAGGTTAATGAACACAACTAGAAATACACAAAACTGAAGTCAATGCAGGTAAATAAATAAAAAGCTTAGTGGAGAAGAAAAGCTTTTACAGGTCAGTGCCAAAACAGGTATTAGTGTTTTAAATACTTGAGACCAGCTGCACAAACCAAACTCACAGAAATCACTAGAAAAAGATGGATGCAGAATTATTGTTTCGAAAGTTCATGAAAACAAGGATAATCTAGATAACAGGAAATCCATTTATCTGATGAAAAAATCTTGAACTTTCTTCAACAAGTATGTCTTTACTGCAGTAGGCCTGCTGATTACCTACCACAGAATTAGTACACATTGGGTCAGCAATACCATCTCATGGACAAGCAGCAGTTTGATTTGGTGATTTATTCAAGTGCAGGCTACATGCTTTAAAAGGAGAGAGGAAGAAGTAGACTCTTATTTTTGGGAAGTAATAGTCAAAACATTGTCTCCTCAGAATGAATTTCTCGTGTCCCTCACTTCTAACAGTATGTTAGGAAAACTGCCACTGCTTCCTTTGTTGCAGAGAGCTCACAGGACCTGTAAGTAGATGCAGAAAGAGGATCTTCCACAGAAGAGGCTACCTGTGTTCAGAAAACCGACACAGCTTGTGAAGAAGCTAATGCACAACTTGCAAGTAGGAGAATATCTGCAATACTAATGTGAGTGATACTATATTGGAAGCTATTACAGGGATTAATGGCTTGGAGGCATCCCCAGCCTACAGGTTCAACTTATTTCCAGAAACACAAATTCACACATATCTAGAAATTTCCTTTTGTTCTGAAACAGAACTGAGGACTAATGAAATCTTTGAAATACACCATTTCACTGCTTAGGACTACTAGTGCTTCAAACTGTACTTAAATGACTTCCCCATCACCTGGTAGGGTCACAACAGAGCTGTACCTTTCTGACTATGAAACACATGATACAACTGACTGCACTGCAGATGTTAAGATTTCCTTCAAGACCTCTCTAATGGATCCTTTAACAGAAGAGCTTTGACATCAGAACAGGTCTTCTTGGATACTGTGTGTTGAGATCCACAGTAATCAATAATCTCTAACAGGGCTTAACCTTTTTTTTAAGGTAGATTTGCAGCATTCTAAGGAATTAGTTTGAAAACTTCTGTACAAGTTGCATGCTGCCACGCTATCAGCATCTTCAAATATTCTCCCCAGAATATTAATGATTAGAAAATTGTTAGCAATATAGCAATACAGTTGCATTCTTCCCCCAGGGATAGCAAGTAGCAGCAGGTCTGCTCAGTAAAAACCATTTCAACTAGAACACCTTTTGAAAATATGAGGGAGAACAGTCATAAAACTGTTAGCTTCCTTGACTTGGTCTACATTACTCGTTCCTGCCAGAAGTATTAAGTTCAGGAGGTAGGTCCAGAATTTAAACCAAAGGAGAAAATGATCTCTGATCATTTGAGCTTTTTAGTTTACAGTCAAGAACGTAGCTGTTAAGATGTTCCTTGGTACAGGCTACCAGCAAGGCCTCCAAAGTATGCCTTGGTTATTAATCCATAAAATCAAATGCATCTACGTGTACACAGAAGTATAAAGGAGATCAAAGTAAATGACCTATAGGTGCTAATGCTTATTATTATAAAGAATATTTTCAAAATCATACCTTAGAAAAGTTTTTGCCTGCATTAGATGTGGTGTAACCAGCAAAAAGTCATCAATAAGTCGTATTAGGACTCTGTAATCAAGAATAAAAAGAGGAGATGCTTTACTTTCTATAACACTGTCTTCATTTAACATGTAGTAATTTTTGAAGCTGCAACTTGGATGTAAAACAGACACTGTGTTCAGTTTTGGACACCTCCATACAGAAAGGAGACTGAGGTGCTGGAGCAGGTCCAAAGAAGGGCAACAAGGCTTGTGAATGCCTTGGAGAATATGCCCTACGAGGAGGGACTGAAGGAACTGGGGCTGTTTATACTGGGGAAGTGGAGGCTGAGGTGAGACCTTACTGCTTTCTTCCAATTCTTGAAAGGTGCTTACAGCAAGTACAGGGTTGGTCTCTTCTCAGTGGTGACAGGACGAGCAGAAATGGCCTCAAATTGTGCCATGGGAGGTTTAGGTTGGACATCAGGAAAGCCTCCTTTACAGAAAGGGTTGTTAAGCACTGGAATAGGCTCCTCAGGAAGGTGGTTGAGTCACCATCCCTGAATGTGATTAAAAACTGTTTGGATGTGGTGCTCAGGGACATGATTTAGAGGAGGGTTGTTAGAGTTAGGGTAGTATGGTTAGGTTGTGGTTGGACTTGACGATCTTTACGGTCTTTTCCAACCTGAGCAATTCCATCATTCTATGAAAAGTCTACCATTATAAAGGCTGAAATTTTCTTTTAAATACAATACATGTCCCAAACTTGCTCACATTTTTCCAATAAATCCTGCTAAGAAACGGATCATAGAAAGGAAACTCTGGAGATGATCTTTTCCAGTCTCCTTTTTAAAGTGGGACTATGCCATCACACGATCAGAACTGATATATTTTCATCTATTCAATAGCCAATTGGTTGGTTTTGGGTTTTTTTGCAGTTTTTTTGCAGTTTTTTTTTTTTTTTTTTTTTCCACTGTTGCTGTTTGTTTTTTGGGAGAGGGAGATGTTATGTTTAAAGGCCAAATGAAACTATCAAAATCATTCAACGGACACCTATGTAATATTCTAAAAACTACAACATATACAGCTGCTACATAGAATCCTTTATGTGCACTCTTCTGAATCTTGGTTTCTTAAGTTCAGCATGTATAAAGAGGGTCCTTTAGAAGCAAAAAAGTAGCTTTGCAGAATCCCACCATCACAGTACACAAATGCTTATCAAAAAGAACTATTACTTGCTTAGGAAGACATATAACATTCTGAGGCTTTCCATTATCCAGAGAGTCTCCCAAGAAGAGGCACCAGACTGGTGCACTTACCCAGAGTACTTTTACACACTTCCTTTATCTTGTTTTGGACAGAATTCACAGGAATGGAGAGAGAACATGAACCAGCTTCAGAGGACTCACCAATACCTAGCTCATGCCTGCAAATCTGAGATTCACCTGGCTATCCATTCACAGGGACATAAAAAGGATGCTGTATTTCTTACTGTTAATGAAAAAGCAGTTTTCACCATACAAACTTTCAGCAAAGCTCCTAAGAACCAAGCACATGAACGGCATGGAAGATGTTAGAAGACCAGTGTGGACCAGCATGTTTTTAAAGCATCCCTAAATACTGTGCTTTTTGTAAGAAGTCATCCACACTCACATTTAGGACAACTCCTCCTCTATTTTTTTTCACAATCATATGAAAAATAAGACAATTCCATCTAAAACAGTTACAGTGACACTAAATCTAAGTTCACCATGCTTCTGCTGGAGAACTGAAAAATCTTGAAATTCAAAATTAAACTTAAAAGAAAACATACACACACTATACAGTACCATAACAGAGTACATAACAAAAAGCACCCAAATCTTCCTACCCATCCTTCTGGATTCCACAAAGTAATTTGTTTTCCATGTCTCCATAGCATAAGCTGCAAAGTAAGGTTGACAAAATGGAGCCCTGTGGGATTCCAGAGCACTGTATATAGTACCTAGAAAAGAATAAAAGAAAAGAAACATCAAAACACACAACAAGGCTCCAGTAGTCACTAAACATATGCTTAAGAACATCAAGTATAACACGTAAGTTTCAGTAATGAACAACTGAAAGCCTGCTAGTTAACCTTACCTCAGTTTTTCTTTCCTCTAAGAGTCTAGACATGACTCCAAAAAAATCTTTATCCCCACTACTGAATTTAAAATGCACTAAAACACATCCTCCTTTGTTATTAAGAAACTCTAGTAGACAACTGCCATTGAATGAATGGTATTTATAGTTGGAATCAATCCACAATGCTTTTTCCTTTACAAAAGAACCTCCAGAGTCACATTTCATCTAAACGTTGTAATTGTTAGTCTTGCATTGCTTTACAAGTGCTCTTCTACAAGAAACGTAAAGTTCACGACTCATCTTTCAAATGATACATTTACTTTTTAATTATGATCCAAATAATTTCCAGCAAGTACTCACTAAAAATTCATACACTGAAGCTCATAATGTTCATCTACAATAAGAATTGAATTCAGGCAGATTCTGAAATTGAGAACTTCTAAGTTTTCGCATAAGAAGCAAACATCCACATTAAATCCAAATACAAAATTCACCACTATCAAATCCTGTTTTCTTAAAGCATTTGTTTCAGACAAGCTAGAGTAGAAGTGTTTAACAATACGAAGTACTTTAAATCAGGCCACTTGATGTGCATATTATAGAATCATAGAACAGCTATGATATTCTTCAGTTATGATGGCACAGCACGATATGGTCAAGCCATATATTTCCTTGTTTGTTTTGTTGTTGCTGTTGTTTGTTTTTAAACAAATAAATACTACTCTTTACTTTCAGGGAAATTCTTGATGAATGCCTGTTAAGGAACACAATATTGTCTTCTACAATCCAGTTTTGTTTTTGTTTTTTTTTTAATACAACCTCTACTATAAGCTGCAGTTATTTCCGCACTTAACTGTTTTAATGCTAGAAAAGCCTACAGACACTTTTCCATTTGCCTCTATTTTCCCCTCTCTCTGTACAATGAGTTTAACTACCGTAAAATAAAGTTAGCCTCTCAACAGCAAGAACTTAGTCACTCTAACAGACTTCACTCTAAATTCAGAAATAAAGGTCGTATTTGTAAGTGGTTTCTACACTTGGTACACGTTTGCCACCTAGAGGCAAAAGCTAAACAGCAGATCAGCATTTCTAGCAATGCAAGAAATTTTCATTTCATCCTCTTCCGTAACAGCAGATTCCTAATTTGGGGGTTGTCAGTCATTTTAATTCTTAATGATACTGTTTTATATTTTTATTGCAACTTGCCAAAGAGCAAGGCTATGCAGAAAAAGTTTTATTTTGTACTACAGACTGACAAGGCTTAAGCACTATTGCTCGGACATCCCCTTGCTTCTGTGGTCATCTCCAAGGATTTCAACATTTTTTCAAACAAGATCTGAAGCTCTAAATGAAGGTTATGTATCTACAGAATGATGCAGTCTGTGCATGATCAGCATCACCCGCATGGGAAAGAAACTTCTAAAACTCAATTATTTAAATGTAAATGGATCCAAACAGTTCAGCTTTTTTATAAGGCATAAGTTAAATTTCAAAACAGATTTCAAATTAACATGAAATAAAATTCTTTAAAAGATATCCAGCAGAAATGCTCTGAGCCAATAAAGGCAGAGAAAAACAAACATAAACCAACCAAATAAACAACAAAAAAATCCACACTTCACAAATGTATTTGATTTTATTTTTTACCTGTGCCCAATCTCCAGGATGTTATTATGTAACATTTGAAGAAAGAAAGTAAACAGGGTGGAACTGTTCTCATTAAAAGTTAAGCACTAGAAATGGGACAAAACAAAACCAAAATTGTACTTTAGAAATGTGCTGAAACTAAAAGATAAAGTATAAGTTGAAAATACATGTATTAGCTTACCTGAAGAATTAGACTGTAACAGTTTAGTAAAAAATCTCTAAGGTAAGAAACAAAGCAAACATCTAAATTTAAAATATGAATATGCACTCTAAAAAGCAACTGTCAGCCAACAAATGAGCAAAGTTGGTTGGGTTTTTTGTTTGTTTGTGTTGTTTTTTTTAGGTCTTTCTTCAGGAAAAAAAATCGTTTTGATTAGTGTTTGGAAAATTGTATATTATATTAACAAATATAAAAAGCTTTTAAATATTATACTGGCTTACCACCATTTATGATACCTCCCCTCTTTTGGTCATGTTCTACCCTTTTTAACTCTTATGTTCTTTATTATTCCGCAAGTACAGACAACACTCTCTTACCAGTTCTGCTACAAATTGCATCTCTTTCCCCATGTTACCAGTGACTCGATGCACGAGAGCCTATGCAATTACATTAAGTCTTTTGTGTTAAAAATGTATAATAGAAATTTCATTTGGAGCAGTGGAAGATACCTGCGTGGTCATCTGTGGCTCATGATTTTGTATGCTGTTAGCATGGAACACCGTTTCGCCAAGCCATAGAACGTCTTTGGAAACTGACTGGGCGCATCACCTACCTCTACACTTTGTCACACATCTTTTACTGCGCAAGTCTTAATAACAAACATTATTTAGAATTAATACTGTTCTCTGAAGCATGTGAGTTAAGCAACAGAAAGGAGCCTGCTTCTTGTAATAGCACTAGCTGGAGCAAATATAAAAGTCATGTAATTTTCATCCATTCCCTAACTTAGAAAGCAAGGTATCTCTTCAAACAGTAACAACAACGGAGTTTTTCCTGTTTTGTAATGCACTAAGAAGGAAAGTTTATTCTTAGCAACTTTGGCATGAGATCATTAAAATAAGCTGATTTTTTTCCAAGTCATTTCTCTATTAAGTGAAGTTTGCTATTCAAAATGCTGTATCTATTTCCCATGTTACTTAGCTTAGAATACACTTTTCACATCCTTAGTTGTGTGCATTTTGGACATAGACCATGACAAAATGCTTATTTATTTCACTGGAAAGCTGTTACAATACATAATGGAATTCATTAGGAAAGAAAAAAAAAAAAAAAGAACATGGTGGTTCAAATGAAAGTTTAAGACACCAACGAGAAAATCTGGGAGAAGTCTAGAATTACGCATCGCCAGAGTTCCTGCCTGAGGCACTAAATCCCCTGAAAGCCTGCTAGAAACACCAGATAAGAGATGCCAAAAATCTATCTAAAGAAGGTGCTGAGTAACCAGAACACAAGTGGTGTCACCATATAATACATACATTCATCTAAAAATAAACAAAAAAAAAAAAACACACACAAAACCCAGGAATCTTCATTTACTTAATGTAGCTTTCTCTTTCAGTTTAGGAGAACCCTCCTAATTTGGGGAGAAATTACTCAAACTAAAAGAGGAGAGATTTAGACTGGATATAAGAAAGAAATTTATTTCACAATAAGCAAGGTGAGGCACTGGAACAGGTTGCCCAAAGATGTGGTGGATGCCCCATCCCTGGAGACACTCAATGTCAGGCTGGACAGAGCTCTGGGCACCTGAATCTGCTGAAAAGGTGTTCCTTTTCTTGTAGGGAATTTAGACTACATGACCCTTAAGTGTTTCTTCCAACTCAAATGATTCTAAGATAATATTTACCTGTTCAACTACTATTGCATTTCGTAATGAAGTTCGCTCTTGAAGTTTGGACACAAACTGCTTCATGTCTGGAATAAAATCCTCGAAAGTAGAAACCTGTATATTTAATATATATTAAAAAAAAAAAAAAGACAACAGCAACAGAATACTCAGTAGCAGATGAAATTTATTCCGTGAAAGGGCATGTTTTACTGCGTTATTTTAAACCAAATAAGTCTGGTACTGTTAAAATGAAATTCCACCCTCACCCATCTCCATTTACCTTTACCCTTACTAACACCGAAGAGTAAGGAACAGCTTTGTTCCCTCCAGGAAATTTCCAACACTATCAAAATAAAGGTTTTCTCAAGTAATTACCTAATTCACATTCAGAAACACAAACAAACAAAACAAAGCTACAAATATATTTCTTGGCCAGAAATATAGTAACAGTAGTAATTAAAAGAAATGAGTCATACGTGTCTCTTATAGAGCTTCCTGGCTTTTCCAGTTGGGGTAATCATAATTACAGCATACCACCTTATTCCATACACGGTTTGGCTCTCAGGTTTCAAGACCTGTGAGATTACTTCCACTAGTTTCTTGTGAGGAATAGTATCAAAAGCTCTGGACACATCACCCTGAAACAGAAAAAATATCTTCCATCATGTTCTATATCTTATGTTTAAATATCTTTCATATTCAACAATATCACCATAAATACTGTGACAGTATGGGGCAAAAATAACCATTGTAGTATATAGCCACAATTGAAGCATCACATAGGAATGAAATTACAACATTAATTATTCAAAATTGTGACAAGCAAATTCATTTCTTATCTGAAGATTCTTTCCTCAGTCATCAATGAGTTTTCCCTTGCAGGGGACAACAGAACTCAGTTTTAGTACAATGTCTGTTACTAGCAGAAAATGGTACAGCAGTCCCTACATTCATCTGTACTGTGTAGCACTTCTTTTCATGATTAGATACCAATGGACACAAAAGGTAGCACTGAAGTTTATTGCTGAAATTTTTATATGATTATTATTTTAAGAAACTTTCTCCTCTATATTTAGTTCTGACCATGACATCTTAGACTTTTGGAAAAATGTAAACCTAGAAGTTTTGCTTTTTCTAAATCTTATACTATGATCTTAACTGTGCTTTTATTTGTCATAGTCACAATTCAAGGCCTTCTGAAGAAGCAAAAACTTGTAAAGAACTGTATCAGTGACATGATCCTTTGTCCTTAAAGATAAGACAATAACTGAAAACAATTTTGGGACATGACAACTGATGTACAAGAGCATGAGGTAGGAGCCCCGCTATATTATATAGAAGCTGTATAATTCTATATGAATCACTCCAACATAATAGCAATAGCCTGCTAGCTATTACTTAACACAAGAGTTAAGTAAATGCTCCTTCAAAAAAAAGAAAAAAAAGAAAAGAGATTTTACAATAACTCAATTATTTAAAGTGGTAGAATAGATTTGTTGGACACGCTTTATACTTCATGTATTTATTCTCAAGAAACATCCGTATTATGGAGATAGAGGAGACTTATTTACTGAAGAGATACTGAGTTTATCTAGAAGCACATAGGATTTTTTTTTTCTGTTTTTAACTTAGGAAAATGACTCTAAGAGCCTATTCAAGTTTGTATGTTTGTCCCATCATTATACCCAAGTAAATGTAACTGCAGAAGCACAGCATGTGTCTAGCAGCAAGAGCTGTTGCATGACAGAGAAATTAATAAAAATATCAAAGTAAAAGAAGCAATACTTCAGGAAAAGCAAACAAACAAACCAGTCTAATGCACAAAACCCAACTATGACAAAGAAGTAGTTATGCACACAGACCAGAGCTATAGAAGATTTGCAGTAGCTGTCTTTGAAAAGTTAGTCTGAACGCAGGATTAGAATAGGCATACCTTTACAAAGTAGAAATGAGGCATTTCACCACCTGATTCAAAAACTTTTGTAACAAAATCCTTCCATTTCCTGTAGATATCATCTCTCCCGAATACTGAAGAGCCAATGATGCTGGTGTTTACAGTTCGTTCATAATTTAACACACTAAATAGATTTTTTAGCTGAGTGTTATAGCGCTGTATCTATAGAGACCAAAGAGAAACATCCTAAGGCGTTGAAACATACTAAATGCAATACTGAATGTTATACTAAATGTTTCTCATTTAGATGAGCTATGAGAGGAAATCTGTGTATTTGCTGTACTACTTTGATCAAATACAGTTTTCAGAAAGAACGAATATAGCAGCAGTGACTTCCTGGAAGTGACAAAACAGTCTCAAAGACACCAGTGTGGTGAAACAGTTATGGACATAAATAAATAGACCAGGATAAATAAAATGATCACCAGCTGTAAGGTAGGAAGAAATAACAACGTGTGCTTGAGACTTTAAGTTAAACCCAGCTGCATCGCTTCATGAACCTCTACAGATAATTTATGCAAAGATTCACTCCACTTCAGCAAAGATTTAACTCTCTTAGTTATGGGAATAGTGGAGTACAGCAGCGTGGCAGTGAAGTCCTGTAGGTCAATCAGCTCTGTCAACACAGATCTGGCTACAAGAGTTTGGAAAAGGCAAGCCATAGTATTAAAGGAAGTAAACAAACTGCACATGCGGCATGCTCATGAATCTGTTTAGAACTCTGGAGAATTCCTCCAAATATGCATAAATAAATTCTAAAAGGTTTCTTACTCTAAATGGCAGCATTCTGATCAAGCCATGCACGCAATAAAATTGCCAAGTATGAAGCATACCAAATTCATCTGAGAACATTATTTTTGCCCTGAAAAAATCAATTCCAGGTTGCAGTGAAAAACTGACAAAACTAAAGCACACCAAAACCACTTGTACTGCAGTCACTGACTACAAACAACATGATCCAACTTTACTGTTTTTCATTAGGTAAATAGTTTGTTAATTCACTGGCTGATCCTGCAAAATATTTTTGACTACAAAAAATTAACTGCTGAATTGACTGCTGAAAATTAAGACACATTCTTGAATTAGTGCAGTGGTTTCTTTTCTGGTACATGCCAAGTTCCTATGAAAAGCAGTCAAAAGGGTAGAGATGTAGCTCAAAGATAAATAGAAGCAGCAGATCAAAGCAGTTATCAGTAGAGAAGTTCCTCCCTTCCTTCTTAATGATTGTGTCCCCGGATGGCTGCCTTAAGAACTTCTCACAAAGCTGATGGCCATCTGGGTGTTAGCACTGGGGTCAATAAAAGAAGCTTTAGCATTCAAACCTCAGTTTGAACTAGGCCTGTGAGACATCCAGCAGCAGTATTCACAGCAGTAACTTCCTGTAATGCTGGCAGGAATTCTCTCCTGTCCCTCAGTTTTCCAGAACAAGTCTAATCTACAGTGCTATCAGTATTTTTGCAAAACCTAAGGGTTTGCTGGAATCTCTGCAGAATGCAAAAAAAGATTATACACTCTCAAGCCAATCAGTTAATTAATTAAGTTAATTAATCAGGCTTCCCATTATGTTTGCGTATCCATGTATGTATCTATGTATTTACACACAGATATGTTGAAGTTCAAACAAAAAGAAGGTTGAAAAGCAAATACATAAAACCTCTATTAAAAGAAAAAAGAAAAGCATAATCTACACTGTTTGAGGACAAACTCACAGAACTGGATTAATTTCACTACAGTTTTGGCAGCAAAGGTTAAGAGCTGCCCAAGAGCTGGAAGTCAATTTGCTGGGTACTTGAGAGATTTTCTTCTGGCAATTCATCTGGATGCATTCCACTGCTGAGCTGCAAGAACTGACAAAGTCTACCACTGCAGTTTCAGACTAGCCTTAAAATTCCAAACCCTGGAACGCTGTCAGACACAGAAAGAATCTGAAGATGGTCTTCTTCCTACAATTTAAATACCTGGAGGAAACTGCAGAGCAGAGACATGCTGGAATATAAAACAGGTTGAAAAACTGGAACAGACCAAAGGATAGCAGGCAATGAAAGAAAGAAACTGAGCAGCCACGCAAGCTGGGGAAGGAAAGAAGGGAGGGAAAAGAAAAAAAAACAAATATTACTTCCATTAGGTTGTAAGCCCCAAATTCTTGAACAAGATAATTGTTTTGGATGACGTTTTCTGCATCTGTCTGCTATCACAGAAGAGAGGTAACACTATCATTACCTTTCATGGATTTATAAAATCATTAGCATTGCTTTATGATGCTCTCCTATTTTTTCACAGATGAGGTCTTTTCATGACAGTTGCTGTTCTTGGCTGCTTATCAGCACTCATGAACAGGAGTCTACAGTTCCCACTTTCTAGCATGTATCTTGTCTCTCAGCTTCAGGGCTACGCAGCAAGCTGAAGCCACTTGGCCAGCAACCATAGTTGACTTTCAATCTTCATCTTCTGGGGTCATCCTTTATCCCAATTTGTTATGGGAGCAACAGAACCTTTTAAAGTACTGCAGCTATTTTTGGATTAACTGTGGGCATACTCTGACAGTATGATAGCCACAGAAAGATTAGATGAAAGTAACACTTCAGAACAGCTTTTCCTTCATGTTCTTTAAATGCAGAACGGGATTACTCACTGAACCATCAGCATTAAGAAGCTGTTGAACTCTCACCCATTTGGAGAGCTTTTCATCTATGGAACTCGGCCTTAAGGAAAAAGAATCAATTTAGTCATGGGAGATAGTGAAAATGTGCTTCCACTATATCTTGCAGTTAACTCGCTTGTTAAATGGATTATTGTATGCACTCTGTGTTAAGCCTTTGTTCCCATGCAGTAGTAATTCCCATCTTAATTTCTATTTCCTTACTATGCTTGATCCAGCCTCCTCAATCCTTTTAGGCCTTCCACTGCAACATATATGGTTCACCATTATTTGGCCTGCTAACTTGGCAAGATCCCCTGGGCTGACCTGGCACAACAGCCAACCAGTCCAACGATGCACTCAATCAGTACTCAGGTGAATCCCAGCAGGAGAGATTCATCTGTCCCTAATTCTCTGGTGTGCCAAACAAATACAGCATTAGCTCTGAACACTGAGCACTTAGTGTCTGACTCTTCTGTTCCTACCCCTATGGACAGCTGTGTCCATCACAGTCAGACTCAGTAAGCAAGGCTGAGGGAAACTGACAGAAAGAGGAGAGAAGGCAAACACGCTTACCCGACAGCCTGTGCTATTTTGTTAGACTAATATCATTAAGACAGGCTTACAAGCAGAAGTATGTAGCTCTGGAACTACAGGCTAATGATGAGTACTGGGAAGGGAGAAGTTAAGCTAAGTTGCAAAGAGTAGGAGCATTCAGTCCTTCTGATTTTAATGTTTCAGTTCACCAGTTTAAAACCAGTTAAGTGAGCGAAGTTTTTTAGTTAACATGAAACAGCTGCCTCCATCAGACCGACATAAAACAATAAGGAAAATAAAAACCTTCTTTTCTCTGCTTTCCTTGCTGAGTTTCTGTCCTTCAACAACACGGCTTAGTCTTACTACAGGTCTTAAACCATTGATTTTAGGAATGAACCGGAGCCTTGATGCAATAGGAAAATACTTTTTTTGATGGATCACTTCCATCTCCTCTGAAGATAAAGCACGCAGATGTACTTTGGCAAAATGGTTTCTAAAATATAAATACATATTGAATGTAAGCAACAGGAAATGCAGTAAGTTAGAATATTTCACTCTTAATGTAACTGAACCCAGGTATTTTACTAAAGAGATAATTACAAATACTAATCTCTACAGAACCTGGTATGAAATCTGAATTTCAGAATAATTCCACATATCAATGTATACCATTGACAACATGATACATTAATAAAAGAGCATATATGACGTAAACTAATGTAATGAAAAAGATCTAAATTAACACAAAAATTTAATCACAGACTAGCCAAGTATATTTGAACATTATGATTTCTTTTTTTAAAATTCAATATCTTTCATGGTTTCAGAATCTTGGAAGATATAAACAAAGGATAGGATTTTCTGAAAACTGTATGAAGACAGGCCCAGGGAAGGACATACACAGTGTAACAGGCTGTTGTATTTCCAACATTTAGAGCAGAATCACACAGAATCACAGAATGGCCTGGGCTGGAAGGATCTTAAATCTTAATAGGTAGCAGCTACCACATTAAAAGTTACAACAGAGAAAACAAAAGGACAATTAAGCATTCAGTAGCATAATTCAAAATAATCAGGTTGATGAGCAGCAGTCAGCTAAAGTAAATAGAAAATAATAAAGAATGGAAGGCTCTTAAATGACAGTCTGGGAAGCATGCTTCCCCCACACAGGCACCACCTCAGGATTTACAATTCAGTGTAGCTCAGCCCAAATTAATACTAACCCATGCAATAAGGTAGGGAAAGGAAGCGGCACCAAGACCTCGCTTTTACTTAAGATGGTGAAGGTGCGCTACCTGCAACATAAAGGAGCTGGGTCACTGTACTACACTGCCTATGTTGTTCAGAAGGAAAAAAAAAAGACTGTTGTTCATTCTTCCCTGGGAAGTAAAATGAGACAGTTCAAACCCCTGAAGAACAAGGGCTGCAAATCTAAATTTGGATTTTGTTATCCCAAACAAACCATCAAGCTGGTTTAGCAAAAGGAAACCATGGTATAACATAAGGCAGTGGATGGATGGAAGACCAGGTCAGCACGCTCTAGGAGATCTCTGAAAAGTCAAGCAAGCAGACAAGACTCAAAAATATTTCTCTTGTGTATACCAGCACAATTCAATAAGTCACTGACCCAGTTGTTCCAACTGTGACAGCCTGAGTGATACAATGCATGCCTGGGCCACAGGTTCAGCGTTTTGAGGATTTATATTCAAGACTGGAATTAAATTTTCAAAATTCAGCTGACGAGGCAGATCATGTTTTCATAGCTAGAGATCACTGCTATTTATTATGACTTCTTTCCTAAACTTACAGAACATAACATGGATACTGTATGCATTAGCTAGAATACCAAGATAAAATGAAGAACTCCAGTTCATCAGAAACAACCAAGTAATCAAATCTACATTGCTCTGAAGTTCACATTTCTGGCACTGGATGGGAGAAAAAAAAAAAACCAACAAGACACAACAACAAAAACTACCAACACACCAATTTTAAAACATGACTTCTTCTAAAAGCAGAGATAAAGACACCCTGTCAGCATATCTTCATCATTACTCCCTGCCCAGTTGTGGAATTCAATGTCATTTTGCCTGAAGCAACACTCACTGCTTATTTCATGGCAGTACTGCTGATTTTGAACATGCACTAATCTAGTGGCCTTTGAACCATCCTCATTCATATTCACAGTGCTGTCACACAGTGGACCTAGTAGGAATCTGAGTACAAGGTCTGCCAATCACTCCCTGTGAAAACAGATGCTGTCACTGCGACAAGGTATACATCATTAAAAAAAAAAAAAAAAAAAAAAAAAAGGCTCTGCATTACATGGGCCAGGTAACTTGAAGCAGCAGTATCATGAAATACTGATTTCTTTCCTTCAAAAAGAAAAAAAAAAACAAAACTGTTTTTCAGTTGGGGGTATGCAGTTTGGTTTAACTTCAAAAATTTACAGAAAGTTGCTTGCATGCAAAATGTCTACCAAACTTGATCAAGAATCTGAGAAAACAAAACAAAGTCCCCTGTCAGATCTGATACCCGTATCCTTGAGCTGGATTCTGCACAGGAAGATTTACTCACATGTACAGTAGTACAAGATAGGGATTTTCTCCGTAAGGACAATTCATGGAAAACTTACGAATAAAGCCCTGCTCTGTTCAGCTCAGACAGTTTCATCCATTTTCTCTTCCTCAAAGTCTACATCAGGGACTACACTGGCTGTAAACACTTTCTTGTGAGCCAGCTCATAGCAATCAACAAGAGCAGCTTCATCTGGAGAGGAGGAAGAACCAGGGCAACCACCAAACAACCATCAGGGCAGCAATAGAGGCCACCTGATACTGTTCACCCAGGGAAGGCAGAGGCAGCTCAATATACTGAATACGTTGCCTGAGAAAGAGGGGATGGTGCCCTGAGAGCCTAGAAATGCCAACCCCAAACAGCTGTTCCTCAGCATCTCTAAATCCCCATTTCCCTCTTCCAACATGAAATGGGCATCTTGCCATATGCATGAATGCAGTAAACTGGATTAGGAAGAGACCTCACATTACATAGCACACTCCAAAAAGCAGAGTGCTGAATACCCTTGTGAGTGAAACAGTGCACTGAAGGTCCATATAGCCCTATACATGTTCCATAGCCAACAGCAAACATCCTGTCCTTACAGCATGCAGTTGGCTGTAAAATACACAACAGTACTTTTCTGAGGTGCTGCTCCACCTGACAGCAATCTGCATTTCAGGACCATCCTGAAGCAAAAGATGAAAACACTTGGAGAACAGATAGGAAGAAACAGGATCAGCACAGATTAGGATCCTTTGTGCTTCCTTTGTGCTCAGAGCTTTATTTGAGAAATTGGTGGCAGGGAAGAAATGACTAAAACCAAAGCCACCTGCTTTCTTTTAATCATACACCCCATTAAAAACAGCATTATATCTATTATGTAAAATCCAGACTTGATACTTTATGCATACACTCTAAAAATACGTTAGCCTTTGAAGTACATTAGAACTACACAAAACACTCATCAAACACTGACACAGCTTGAAGACAAGACAAAGTATACCAATAGTTGAAAACTATTTTGCTACTACTGTTTAAAATGCTGATTCTAGGCTGCAGCTGCAAACAGGATCAGGGCCCCATTAAGTGCTAACACACATAGAAGAGAGCTGCACAGGAGAAACACCAGTGGTATCATCAGGGAACACGGAGGGCACAAGAGAATTTAAAAAAAAAAAAAAAAAAAAAAAAAGAAAGAAGAAATCACATAGAAATTTGGAAATCAACAGAAATCCAGAAATTCAAAACAATTTTTTTTGAATTGAAGCAGTTAAAGAAATTTCTGGCACTGTGAATCACTGATCATTAAAAGGTTTAAAAATGTGACCTATCAAACCAAAATCCTCCTCATAATGGGTATTACTGCAAAGGCTTCTGTTCTCCTATCAAAGAAATAAAAATTTGAATAGGCTCTCCCACATCAAATATATACAAACTTACAAGCCATACACATCACTACTACAGGTTGACTTCCTCTTGGAAAATTAAGCACACAAAAGGCAGATAAAGGGGCAATAGATGAAAGCAGAATTATAACTTCACATAACAAAACGTGAGACTTCCACATGTTTCAGTCATGTTTGATTAGTTATGTTACCTAATTCCAATGTTCTGTAATTTGCCCCAGATAAACTTTCGGTAGTAGAAAAGCATGTTTTTCTGGAACATGGTCTCGGTGATATAGAAAAATGATTTGAGCAACTCGATAACATAGGAATCCATCAGCCAGTATAGGAATTTTGCCAAAATTTCTTCACGGTAACAATGTTCATAGGCAGGAACAGAATGATTACCTTCAATAAATAATTCAAATGTAGTTAATGTAGTCATAGCAAAGGTCAACTTTCCGTATTAGTAAAAAACAGGAACAAACTATACAGAACAACCCATATATACAATCCCTTCTTAGCACGAGGCCAGTAAAAAGAGAAAAAAAACAAACAAATAATCCCACAGATGCAGCTCAAAATTTTCATTGGTATTAATTATAAATCATTGCAACTTTCCAATAATATGTTTCTAATTAAAGTAGAATTTAGCAAAATACAGCTGGATTATTTAAAGATACTCTACAAAAATGTTTGTTAGATTAGCTGCTCAGCACAAATCACAGCTGCTGCACAAACTTTGACACAAAGAGATGAAGTTTTAAACTGAAACTTATCAGATGGAAATCAGTTGCTTAGTTCTATACCCCGCCTGGGTTGTGTGCTCTCTGCGGCAGAGACACTTTCATGTCCAAAAAAAACAATACTGCCAAAAAGACATAAAAGGATTCACTTCAATAGAAGCTAGAGAACATCACTGAAAAATGCAGCAGCTGTGAGAAGATTCTTTAAATGAAGAATCGTAATACGCAGGCCACCAGATACACAGATTAAATCAGCACATTACATAGCTGTTCTGGAACAAGATGATTAGTTTTTGACATTTTGAGATCACATGTCAATTTCCTGAATTGTAGTCATGATTTACAAGAAACCACTGCTACTTCTTTTGGGGAGAAAAACACCTACAGTGCAGCAAAGCAATTAAATGCAAGTTTAAACTTCAGGCACAAGGGATTAGTTACAGAGAAAATGAAATTAAGTTGACAAGTTGCTTTTCCTGGATTCAGGCTATTATTCTTTTCAGAAGTAAGACATTACAAGTGATTATGAACCAAATGTGTTTTTACAATAAAAACCCTTTGAAATATTTAATCATTCAATAATTTTAAAACTGTGGTTTTGAGCCAAAGTTTTTAAATGATTAATCAATATATTTACTAGAATTAACAGCTTCTTATGGAAGTGTACCTCAAATACCAGACCACCCACTTTCCTCCTATACTTCAGGGAACCTGCAGTAATTTCAGAACCCTACTGCACCTTTTAAGAAGGAATGCCATTTTCAACTCACATTACTGTAGGATCCAAGCATATTACTAGTTAAGAACACTGCAAGCATGTTGGTTATAGTACATTCCACATTCTGTAGGTGGAGAATGGAATCACAGAACAATTACAACATGTGAGATTCTACAGCAGTTAACCACAGAACCACAGGTTCAGCCTAGAACGATGCCCAAGGGTAATGTCTTTAGAGAGGCTACTTCAGATTAGTAAGATTTGCCTCTCTTCACCTGAGAAGATCACTGACAGGAGGGATTCCCAGAGAATTCAGAGCTGTCCTACTCATACCACTGGGATGATCTTTGCACCGCCACTCACCCAGCCCCAAATCCTGCTCAGTAAAGATCATACATTCCCAAAGAAGAGCTCCAGAAAGGTAATGGATGGAGGGCAGCTTCTGCACTGCACAGATCCCTTACTCTTGTCTTTTTCACAGGGTAGACGTGAGAGGGAAAAATCCCATGGAATGACTGCATACATGTGTCCTGTTTTGGCTTTAGCTCTTTCTGGTGTTTTATGGCAACTGAAAAGACCACACTTACTCCTTAAGTGCTTTGGTCACAGATATTGGCAATCTGGGGAGCAAGAGCAGAAGGGAATGTGTTTTGTTGGAAGGCCTGCGTCCTGAATTCACGTTTCTGCATAAAACCTTAATCCCATTAAACACAAAAGGTGTCAATAAAGATGCACAGAGGAAGAGAGATCTGAGAACTCTCCCCAACATCGATTACAACCACTACCACGTCTTCCTCTCTCAACTCCTGTTGTTACCAATAAACCACCAACTCCAAACCCATATTGAGTGCCCTTCCGTCCCCTCCTTAAGCCTGACCGCCACCCATCTGACGCCGTTGGTTTTGCAATACAAGTACCTTTGGCCAGACGAAGCCATACGCAGTCATTCACTCTCATCTTCCACATCAGCTGCTGCAATGAAAGCTTAGCATACTTCCCCATAGAAATGAATGCTTTCACGTTTTTAAAGAACCGGCATTTGTTATGGCTTGAACCCCACAGCTCGGCAGGAATCACCCGCTCCAGGCAATCCCTCACAAAGCCATACACCTGCCAGTGGCTGCTGTGCTGCCTGAGCAGCTCCCTGAGGAGCGGATCACTCCCCTCTGCAAGGTGCTGCTCCTCTCTCTCCATCTGCCCACACATTGGCATTGAGGGAGGAGTGTGGAAGCTGTTCGGTGCAGTACCCTCAGTGGACTCTTCCCCATGTTCTGTGTGCTTGTGAACCTTTGCTTCCCCAGGCAGAGCTGCCTGCAAGGTCAGCTCCGTTTTTTTCAAACATGCTTCAGAAAGCAAAACAGGGCAATTTTTTCTCAAGAAAACTAAGTAAGGGCACTTCTCGTGGTTTTTTAACAGCTTCTGAAATATCTCTCTCATTTGCCAGTAGCGTTTGGGCAACCTCTTCTTTCTCCACTTTTGCTGTGTTAGGCTTTTGTTCTGCTTTTCCTTTAATGGGTTTTGGCTCAAGAATATAGTTTCTATAAGCCGCCTTCCACCTGCCTGACAACCCTGCAGGCGGCTCAGTATGAATGATTTAGGAAAATATTCTTGGTAACTACGGGAATACAGAAGAAATTTCTTCTCAAAGTACACTGCAGAGCGCAAGAATGTATTTGGTAACTGCTTTGCCAAATGAGCTGGGGGATTTTCCTGCTTTCTGTCCCCCGAAGAATCACCTTCCATTGGTTCAGTTTGTACAGAATTCAACCCCGGTTTATGGGTTGGATTTATATGCCTCTCTATACCCCTTCTATTGGGTTTACGGGTTGGGTTTATATACATCTCTATGCCCCTTCTATTGGATTCTGCTCGTTTTTCTGCACCGGTCTTTGTGTGTTTGTTACCCTGAACTCCTCTCGGAAAAGAGCTTTTGTCTGCCACAGGCCTCTTCCCAGGGTGAGATCTGTGAACTACAGAAGGACCAGACATCTCACTGTTACTTCTTTCAGAAACGTAACGTTCTTTAATAAGACCTACAGCACGTGGTGCTACATGCCAAACTCCGTGCCTCTGGGAGCTACTTTGATTTACATCAGGAACGATACTACAAGGCTGCTCCTCCATCTCTTTCTCCATTACTTTCACTCTCTTAGCTGCGATTTCAACCTGTTCTCTGTCACACTTCCTTTTCAAAGATGGTGTTCTAGCTGGCAAACATAAACTGGAGCAGCTCTGTTTTTCCAGACGTGCAGTAACTGTGCTGATCCGCATGCCTGCTTGAAAGTTCACTTCTGCAGAAGACTGGTAACCAGACCTTGGGCTTTGTATCCTATGGCTCCTTCTTTTTCTCCTGCTGGAGACACGACCTTGACGTCTCGGCCTGCACTTCCACCACTGTGACTTGGAGAGATAGTGCCTGTGAAACACAAGCCTTTTTCGCACATAGTCAAGCAAGCTATTATGTTTAAACCTTGAATACCGTCGTCTAACAAACCCTGGGGACGGCCCTATGTTACGCGAAATAAGTTCATAAATTGGTTGCCCGCAGACCTGATAACAGTTACTTGGGGGAACCAACATGAAGAGTGCACAGTGCTCCAGCAGGTACATCATCACGTCGTCCCCTATCCTGCTCAGCAGTATCTCCCAGAGGCCACTGATGCGAATCGTTTCTGTTACAGTATTGGGCAGATAGTTGTATATGCATGAAGATGGCAAAATCCTGAAGTGACAACTGTTTTCATCCAGCAAGGAGTATCCATATGCAAGAATGTTCTTCTTTTTCTTTTCACACAGTCTCTGAACGATTCTTGTGATGACTTCGCTCTGACTGGATAACTGAACAAAGACAAAAAGAGGGAGAATTGATTTTTTAAATCAATTCCACAAATAACACGTGGCCTAAAGAAGCAGACACGCCAGCTACACCCAGGCCTAGACTTCAGCCTTACATTATGCCTTTACAAAGCCGTATAACCATTCACAAGTGCTATGCCAGACTTTCACAAGTGCTATGCCACACTTGCGTGCGCACCGCAAGATGTTTACATTCAGCAACCTGAGCCGCCTGCCTTACGGAAGCCCGTTCGGTGCTGCCCTTTTGATCCTGCTCCTCATGCCCAGGAAGCGCCCTATGCCTCTCCTCCCCACCCCGACTCCCAGCTCAGGGCCTCCAGGTCACTGTGCCCCAGAAGGCGCTGACGCAGGCCGCGCCACCGGAGGAGAACTCAGTGTTTCTCGAGGCCTCCATTTCCTTTTGCTTAAAATAAAGGAGTTTTAACAAACTTAAAAGCCGCTCGGTAAGCTCGCACAGCTCGTTTCGCGCGGCGTAGCTCTGCTTTCCCCCACCCCTCTCACAGGGGAAGGTGGTACTTCCCTCACAGTCGCTCTAACGAGCCACGCTGGCTCGTCGGAGCAGACGAGCCCCCGAACCCCAGACATGCAAATCTTTGAGCCCACCGCCGCCCGGACGCCTTCAGCGCACCGCCAGCCCTCTCTAGGGACGGGACCGGGGGTGGTGCAGACGGGGCCGCGGGCGGAGGGGCGGCCACGAGGGGAGAGGCGCACGCAAGCACGCACGCGGGGCACCAAGAGCCCCGCAGCCCTAGCGCTGCCTCCGGGGCCGACCCCGTGCGCGGGGCACCGTCCGGCCGCTCTCCCTCCTGCCTACCTGCTGGAAGCAGATGGGCCGGCGGATGGTGCGAGCCCCGCGGGGGACGCACACCACACACTGCGACACGAAGGTCCGGTAGCACTGCGCGTCGTCGCCGCGCAGCACCTCGACCTCCCTGGTGCCAGCTTCCCGCAGCCGCCGGACGAAGGCCTCCAGCGGCGTGGCCTCGGCGTAGCAACCCCGCAGCGCGCCCAGCACCGCAGCGAAGGGCTCCGGCCGCGCCACGTTGCGGAGCCGCCGCACGCCGACCCCAGGATCGGCCCCGCGCTCCATCTCCGCGTGCAGCGGGGCTCCACGCGGCGGAGGTGAGGCGAGGCGGGGCGCGGCTGGGCGGGGCGCGGCTGGGCGGGGCAGGGAGGGCAGGCCGGTGTCCAGCTGCGGTGCGACTGGCGTGCCACGGGCTGCTGCCGCCTCACGTTGCGCCAGGGGAGGCTCAAGTTGGATTTAGGAACAATTTCTTCTCGGAAAGAGCGGTGAGGCACTGACGCAGGCTGCCCGGGGAGTCACCGTCACTGGGCGCGTGTGGATGCGGCAGTGAGGTTCGTGGGCATGGTGGGGAATGGATTGACAGCTGCACTTAGGCGATCTTGGGGGGCTTTTCCAAACGTAATGATCCTGTGATTCTGTGGTAAGTTTGCGTTACCGCTCTTGCTTTGTCCCTGTGGAAAGCGGCGGGAAACAAGACTCCACACAGATGCGTGCAGCTTGTCCGAGCGTCAGACATGGGTGCAGAGAGTTGTGTGGTGCGGGGCGTGCGTGGGGCGGTGGGGAGGCATGAGCTGTGGTTAAAGCATGTGTGTGTGTGTGTGTGCGCACCCTTATGGCTTGCCTGGGCCGTGCCGACTGAAGAGGATTTGTCCTGGGCTTCATATAAAATACATATACTTCGCTCCAAAAGTAATGCCTCCCATTTATTCCCGTTAAAACTGCAGCCGCTAGGAAGAGTGCAATAACACAGTTTGATAGAGAAAACTCTCAGCTATGAAACATTATTTTTCGACACAGTCACCACCATTAGCTATTCATTTCCACCAGCAGTGAACAAGAGCCTGCATGCTGCGCTCATAAAAACTTGCACCAGCAGAGATGACCCACTGTCAGGGCAGCTGAAATGCACCACCTGCTGCCTCACCGTGTGCACAGCCGCTGTGTGGTCTCCATAAACATTCGTCAGTGAATGTCAGTGGGTGCCATTTTTTCCACATAGTGGAATTCAGTTCCGTAGCTTTGCTTCACGTGCGTTTCCATGCCAGGTGCCGTGGTGTCAGGCTGCCTCTCAGCTGCCATCTGTCACATGGCAACAAAATGTAACAATATTGGCAGTAAGGTTCAGCCTTTAATGCCATACCACCGACATCCACCTCTAACGTTGTGGGCCAACATAATAAAATAGGAAGCATTGCTTTTGAAGCAGTCCTGAAATAACATAGTTCATGTATGTAAGTAGCAAAACTTCTTTTTTTTTTGCCTTGTTTAGTAAAATGTAAAAAAAAGAGAGTAACAAAACTGTAAAACTACTGGGATATGTGACCTTGTTTATGTGAAACTAATGCATCCATCTGGTTCAGAGATGGTGGTTGCAATTCTTAGTTAGCTCTCAAGGAGCTCATCAGAGGTTTTTATGAAATTTTACTCTTCCTGTGCTTCATCCTTAAAAATAGTTGTTCACAAACGTATGTACTGCCGAAAAGCAATGACATGAATAAGGTGTGATTGTGAACCTTTTCCTAACCCTCACTCTGACCCTCCTTTGGCAGAGCTCCATGCTGTTCCTTTGGTCCCATCCCTGTCACCAGAGGGAAGAGCTCAGCACAGCCCTTCTGCTTCCCATGAGGAAGCTACAGGCCCACCATGAGGTCTCTCCTCAGCACCCTCTTCTCTTGACTGAACAAACCAAGCAACATCAGCAGCTCTTCATACCACTTGCCCTCCACACCCTTCATCACTGAATGTTGCTGGTTTACTAGTGTAAATCTGTTACGGAAGAAATCTGGAAGAATCCCATCCAACGAATCCCTTTTCAAATGAAGACTTGATAGAAGGTCAGTATTAAAGAAGAGTACTTGTAGAAAAGGTTATGATGGAGATGAGCAGAGTAAACCTTGAAAGTAACTGCCTGGTCCTGTGGCTCTCGTTAACCTCAAAAATTAAGAAGCTTAATTGCATAAGATAGTATGTAATGTCCTACTCAGATCTTTCCTTAGTGTCTGAAGGCTTTATGGTAACAACATTGACAGCAAACTTCAAAAAAGGTTGCAGTGGAGTTTTGGGAAATCGCAGATCTTTAAGCCTGGTGTTTGTTCCAGGAAAATTGTTAGAAATAACAGAGTTTAAGGTTTGTACATACTGGAGCAAAGGTCAGTTGCCTAGTTAATATTGCTACTGCAAGAGAAAGTCCTGCCTTGCAAAACTCCTGGAGTTCTCTGAATGGTTGAGAAGACATGAAAATTACAGTAATCTGATTAGTTGTTGTGTTCTGTTTGAAATTCATGAAACCCTTGTGAGAGAATGTCATAAACGGGAAAAAAAAACCACAACACATTAAAAAGGAGAGTGTTGTTGTGGATATACTACTGGTTAAAACATAAGACATGGGTAGGGATAAATGGTCAGTTCTTTCAGTTGAGGAAAATTACCACTAAGGTTCTATGATAGTCAGCACTGTGTAACTTTGATAAGTGACCCAGAAGTGCTGTATAAAAGCAGTTAGTGGCAAGATTTGTCAATGGGATGAAATTATTCAAAGTATCAAGAACTTAAGCAGACTAGAAAATTGTATTAGAAACTACAAGACTGAGTGACTGAACAGTTACATGACAGATGAAATTAAATGCTGGTAAATCAAGTATGGCATTGAGATTAAACACATTTCCAAGTGAGATCCTGTGGTTACATGAAGCAAGTCAGCATTGCATTCAGTAGCAGTCAGGAAAGTAAATCAAATGTTGGGAATGGTGGGACATCATTATGCCATTGTGTAAATTCTCGACTTGCCTACCATCTTAAGTGCAATTGTGTTCTGGTCACTGTTTCTCAAAAATAATGTACTAGAATTAGAAGGAGAAGGACAATCCTGTGTGGGACAGTCCTATATGAGATAACATGGTAGGTTAGAACCGGAAATGGAGATGTTGCTGAGGAAGGGCAAATGTTGCAGGCTTTTCCTTCAAAAACAACCTCTTCTAGGATGGAAAGCAGCTCATCTCTTGACATGAGTGCAGCAGAGGATTCCAGTTCTTGGCACCTCCATGGCCTTCAAGTTGCTTCATTCCTGCTTAACTACCAGTTCAGCTCTGCTTGTTTCTGGCAGACTACTTCACCCCTTGACATAGGTATGTACTAGATGGGCATCCACAAAGAACAGAGAGCGATAACACTTTAAGGCTTCAGCAGTGCTGCAACTGAGATACTGCACTGCTGCTACATACAGAAGGACAAGGATATAGAACAGGGACTCCATTCAGGGGAGGCTAAAGTTGATGCCATTTATCTGACCTCTGGTGAGTCCGTTTCACATATATTTCTCCCTTCACCCATAGGTCTGAAGGTGATGACATCTTCAAGGTGTAACCCAGTGCTGTCTAATGCAGCTGGGTGTACTGCCAACACAAGGCTCACTTGAGAAACATTCAGGAAAAGAGGAAGAGGAGGAAGTGGTGTTGAGCTTGTCTTAACTCTGGATCAAGCTCTGATGGCAAGGGTTTAACCAAGTTTGAAAATGGCAACTTGACCCCTGGAATCTCCTTCAGCAGGCAGCAGGTTGACACAGGAGAAAGTAAGAACATGAAGGTGTGAAGGACCATCTATGAGGTCTTTGTGGTTAGGATCCTTGAAGAAGTGAATATTGATCTGTGCCTTTCAGCGGGTCTTTGTTAGTTGCAGCCCCAGTAACAGTGCACAAGGAAGCAATGGGACTGTAGTGGTAGTGGAAGATGCTCCCACAGTTGAGAATATGCTGCTTTCAGGTGAATTTACAACTGCTTGTCCATAAACTCTGGCAGCAGTGAATCCATGCTGCCAAAGCTGATTGACTTGCTCATGGCAGATGATTGTAGATGTTTCTGTAGATTGAATTTCTGAGAAGACCTTTTAACTTACCTTGACTCCTTCTACCAATTGGTGAGTTGGTGGGTCCCTAAGTAGGTGATGCCTCTTGCTGATATGTTCTTGGTGACAGTAATTACAGCAGTGATTGCGTGGTCAGAGGATAACTGCGGTGGCCAGGATAGCAAGATCTCTTTCCTCCTATTTCTTTTCATAGATACCACCCTGCTTTTCTGTGTTTCTACCATTGGGCTGGGGAAGGAGCTCAGCAAGGAGAGAGGGAATGAAGCGATATGGGAAAAATGTTATTTTTTAGGAAGACAAATAAGGAAAATAATGGGAACATAGAGTCATAGAACAGCCAAGGTTGTAAGAGAAGTATGATGTCTTTTGCACCTCTGCTGCCTAAAGCAGGGCCACCTAGAGCAGGTTGCCCAATGTCATGTGTAACAAGATTTTAAGTATCTTCAAGGATGGAGACACCACAACATTTTGCAGGTGTTCTACCACCCTAAGAGTAAAAAGATGTTTAAGTAGAATTTCCTGTATTTTAATTTGTGTTCACCACATCTTGTTCTATCCCTGGCTACCACTGAGAAGAGTTTGTGTCCATCTCATTAACATTAGCTACTTGTGTACTTTAATAAGATCCTCGCTGAGCCTTTCCATCTTGAGGCTAAACAATCCCAGTTACCTTAACACCTCCTTATATACCAGATGCTCCACTTCCTTAATCATCTTAGGGCCCTTAGTGTCAGGTTCACTAGGCTCACTTCTGTATATCCATCAGCCTTGTTCTGGAGAACCCAGATCTGAATGAATAATGAAGTCAGGTTCTCCTCGACAACATTTATCCTTCAAGGCACTATGCAGATATTGACTGAATTCTATTACAGATAACACGTCCATAGCCAGTTTTATCTCCCTATTAGTTGTTCCCTTTTACAGCTGTTATGTTTGCCTTAAAAGTAATTACTATGTAGGCCAGCAGTAATTAAAATAGTACTTTGAAGAACCCATTCAGAGTGTAATTTCTGAAAATGCTCCTATGTAAATGTTTTGCACTCCAGTTTTGCTTTTGCCAGCAGGATTTACAACAGTGTCACCCCAATGAGTTATTTGGAATTACTCTTTAATTTCACACTAAAAAAATGATGAAAGAATCAGACTTTCTGAACCAGGCTATAGCACACTCAGGGAGAAAAAAACCTCAAAGGCAAAACTTGATT